CCATAGAATAAAAATACATGTCAGTAGTGCAATATTTGGTTTTGGCTCCTTGTCAATACGAATAAAAGAAAAATAAACATTATACAAATTAAATTTTGATTACTTTTGATTCAATTTTATTTTCTAAATATCTCCCATATATCTTATTGTACGAGTATCTTACTAAAAAATCCAAATGTGTTAAAAATTAGCTTTTCTTAAAGGTTACTGTCATCTTTCTGCGTCCAGTATTTATAGAGCAGTAGACAAAAACAGTTTTTTTTTATTTTTCCTGAAAACTTACATTTTTGTAGTTATCTTTTTATTCTCCGGGGACGGCGAAATATCGTTAATTCGAAGAAAAAAGGTAACCTGATTTCTTTATAATTTGTTTAGGAGTACTTTCTGTTTGGAGTCAGTACTTATACAGTATTTAGTTAGTGGCTTTATAATACCTACTATTAATTTTATTTTTGTCTGCAATTTTCTACATGACTGTACTTAACAAAACTGTTAATAAGGTCCAACTGGCAGTAGGGTATAATCTTGAAGGTCCAATGGGCACTTAAAAAGAGGTCCAATGGGCACATTGAATATAATTTTTTTAAGGAGGTCCAATAGGCACCAATAAAGAGGTCCAATGGGCACATTGAATATAAAATGTTTTAAGAAGGTCCAATGGACACCAAAAAAGAGGTCCAATGGGCACTTTTTGCTTTTGGGTCGAATCTTGAGGGTCCAATGGGTACTAGACCGACTTTTGGTCGCGTCCAAATCTTCATATAAATATGAATAGGAGCTACTGGAGAGTTCACGTAATCCCTTCTCAAAGTTTGATGCGCTCGATTTTTTTTTCTATTTTCTAACTCTTCGAACGGCCGCCCACATCATGCAAACCAGCAGATTAATATTTTCCCGTTATTACTGTGCCAGCAGACCAGTCGACGGCTTGGGTCTGGAAGACGTCATTGCACTTCGGAGAGAGACGACCGAAACATTGCATCGACGTCTTTGAAAATCGGTTCCCTAATGCTGTTGGGTTGCAGCTCCAGGTAGCTCGCAGGACAACCGTGGGCGTTTCTACAATGAAACGAAGACTTCAGGATAAATAGATAGCAGGAGTTGAAGTCCTAAATTGACCACAAAGCATCGCCGAGCCCGCTTGCAGTTTGCACACTAACACGTCAATTGGCATCTTGATCAATAGAGAGCTGTTCTTTTGTCAGACGAGACAAGAGTGTGCCGTTTTTGCGATACGGTAAGACAGGGGGAATGTTTTGCCCAGGCTTGCATCCAGGAGACGGTAGAAGACGGTGGCGGTTCCTGCATGTTCTGGGGCGGCATATCGGCCGACGGCAAAACCAATCTTGTTGGCGTCTCCCGGACTGGTGGTACTTGTAGACAACGATCGCTGACTGCTCACCGGTACATCACAGAGATTCTAGAAGAACATGTGGTCCGCTATACCGGTTTCATTGACGAAGAGTTCACATTAATGCACGTCAACGCTCACGCTCACACTACAGTAATTGAGCGCCAGTATCTTCATTTCTGCCATGCAATGGCCAGCGAGGTGCAGACCTAAACCCGATAAAGCACCTCTGGGACCAAATAAAGCCCAAGGTTCGATTTTGTGATTCCGCTCCCACGATTCTCCAGGATTTCGAAGGGGCCGTTGTTAAGGAACGGGGCAATATTCCTCAAGAGCTATTAAATTTGATAAGACCAATGAGGGAGTGAATGGAAGCCGTTATTAGGGGAATGGAGGGTAACACTTAGTTTTTGGATAAGTTTATTGTGTAAGCTTTAATAATATTCTGTTTGGGTTCTGTACCCAAAGGGAAAAAAAGGAACCCTATTGCTGTCACTCTGTCATCTATCTGTCCATATGACACGGGTCTCTAGATTGTAAATAAAATGAGTTACAGAACTGAAATTTTAGTATTTTAGGTAGAATGCTTGAATATTTAGTTACAAATTGAATTAAATTACTTTTCATTGGATTCCCATACAAAAAAAAATCTACAACCTTTTTTGTATTATGTTTTTATTTATAAATTTTAGACATTTTTTATACGAGGTTCACCTCAAAATCAAAATTAGTAAAGAATGTGAAATTTTGGTATATTTTATATTTTGGTATCCCATAAGGTGTATTTAATCAACTAATACTGGAAATGACAATTTATAAGGTAATTTTACAAGTTGTGATAAAATCAAATAAATAATTTTTCCTTTCGCAGTTTGTTGTCTGAACCCTAATAGGGTGAAGTAAGACACGCACTTGGCCAGATTTGTATTCATTTTATGGTACTTGTCTCTAATTTAATTAAGGATTTTTATTGTGAGGTAAACCTTTTTTACGTGGTTCCAAAAAAAATATATCAAGGTAAATATTGTTTTTGTACACTCCTTATCGATATGATTTAAATAATACCTAAAGTAAAGTTAAAAGTAAAATAAGTAAAGTTTGAAGTAGTTTTTTTTTATGCCAAGTTTGTGAAGTTAAAATAAAAAAATATAGTGAGGTTAAAATAAATAAATTTGGTTTTTATACACTATTTTTCTTTTTTGATTCAAATAATACCAAACATTTTCCTCATCATTCATTCTAAGTATAATATAATTTGAAGCAGATTTTTTACGCCAATAAGTATTATTATTATACTTAAATAAGTATATGGGCGATTCTCAGTTAAGAGGTAATCGGTTGTATGGAAGCAGTGGCACAGCAAAAAGTATCGATATTTATATAACTATATCACTACTTTTATCAAGACAGATGATTTTAATATGATTTTAAGATGATCAGTCATTTTTTTAATTTATTCTCTTTTTACGAGACACCAGGGGAGATACTGAGGACAGGGTAGAGACAAGATGAACTTTATTGCAATGCGCTTAGAGCGCATATTAGGATGCACTGTAAAATACTTATCCGTGCAATCAGATTTATTGGAATAACGATATAAAGCGAAACAATTATCTAAAATATATGCAATTGTACATTCTCTAATAAATTATCATTACTGTTATTGAGCTATTGCATCATTTTTATAGTTTTGTTAGTAGCCTGGCACCATAACAGCCAGGGGAAATATGGCAGGGTAGAGACATTTTCGTTAAAAATCTAAAATTGCCGTAAAACTACTAATTTTACAAAGATTTCAAATAAATAAAAGGTTTGCAGCACTATTTAAAATAAATGTATATAGATATTGTAGTATTTAAACACATAAATACGAAAAAAAATGACCAGGGTAAATACTTTGATCACTCAACATGGCTGCACTTATCGAGCACCGTTGCGCAAATGGCCAAAAAAATTGCCGCGCGGATGGCTAGTGCAGCGCTTGCTGCTAGCTCATGTGACACTCGGTGTCTTCAAGGTCAAAACTACCACAGACTATGGTAAACAAATACGATTTTCAAACTAAACCTAAGGCCAGGGGGCGAGACACGAAACTCGGAGGACACAGTTTGCGTTTTTTTTTATAAAAAGTGCAAATATAAATGAATTTAATGGTTACATACTGTAACTAAGTTATCAGTGTTCATGTTATTACCGATAAAAAAGTAATAATTAAATTTCAATGGACTCAAAATTACTGATTTACAAAAAAAAAAACGGTTAAGGGACAACCCAGGGGAGAAATGTTTTTCCTCTTTGTGCTGTTATTGTAAGTAAATTATGCACATTTAGAATATAATTTTAAGTGACAATTTAGAACACATTTAGTTAATTGAAATTATTAAGATTTTAGACCATAATTTCCAAATATAATGATTTTTTGGCTTAGCCATCGAACATACCTCTTAACTGAGAATCACCCATATAAGATTCACAATCAATTGAGATAAATTTACAATTTGTTAACTTGATGAAGTTTGATGCACACCTAATAGAAAATTTTATATTGGTCCATGCAATAACCCTTTGTCATTACAAGGAAGCAAGACCTTTACATACATTCAACTCATAACAAAGATGCAGCCCTTACTCATAACAGTAAGGACCTGTAAATTTATACTAAAATCGAATTTATCCGGTAAGAAAAAAATATTAAATTTCAGGTAAAGATTATAATTAGACAACCCAAAGCTAACTTGGATTTTGCTTCAACCCCCCTTGCGATTAATAGTTCAATGCCCTTCTGGTGAGTCTATTGAGGTAGGTCTGGCGCCCAAGTACTTTTTAATTTTATATCGACCTATCCATATTACTTTAAAACACAATTTGGCTTTTCCCACATAAAAACCCCTTTTTAATTTTTTTATATGACTGCATTCATTGACAACAACATATTTCAATATAAATATATGTATGCAGTTTAAACAATGTATACAACATATCATGCTCATTAAGTTTCAAACCCTAAGGCCCAAGTACGAACTTTGACAGATCCATAATCATATTGTCATCATCAAATTTTGTATGCAAGGAGCCAGTTTGCTCTTACGACCGGATGGGGCGCTACTTAGTTTTTCATAAAAACTTTAACGATGCAATATGATTTCAGCTAAGTGCGGAAACCTAAACCCCCAACATAGAACATGATGCAATTCAGTTATGGAGCTGTCAAAGTTATGCTTGCACTTCAGTTATAATTTATCAACCTCTGTTTGATTTTCAATAGTACGACAAAGAAGTAAAGTTAAGAATTTAAAAAGTATACCTTAATCTCGGGTGTCTAACAACTGCCGAGTGGATAGCGACATTTTAGAAAAAAAACCTATCTTTAAATCATCATTATATTATATCCTTGCTTATGACCCCAGACCAAATGTAATTTGCAGCATGTCATATTTCATTTAATCAATAATTTTATTTCACTAACAACTCCTTCTCGGGTCAATAAAATCAATAAGAAGACTCTTATCTTTATCCAAAATCACTTCTAACATGCCACTCATAATATGGATAGGCCTAAATTTTAAATACAATTGTTATTCACTCTAGTTTACAGTATGTACCTATATTAAGGGAATTTGTATTACTTTTATATTAATGATAAACTTACTTGACAGAAAGTGAAAAATCACCAGGACTGGACTCACTGATTCTTATCAAGAAACCACCTTCTGGTTTATTTGCTAAAAGTTTCTCTGCGTCTGCTCTTGTAATTCTTCCAAAATACCAACTACAACAGAAACCATTTATGATTTTTAAGATAAACAAGCAATAAATTAAATCACAGCAAATGTTATTGTTGCACATCATTTACAATTACTATTCAAGGTAGTTTTAATTAAATTATTTATTAATGAGATTTAATATGAACTAAGTACTAAACTTTTCTTAAATGAAGTAAATATATTAGAAGTGTAAGTATGTACCTTTGAGGTTTGTTAAGTGATGTAATTATTAATGTATTAATCAAAAGAAACTTACTTGTGACTCTTCATTTGAATATAGTTACTAGGTATGAGACCTTCTTTACCATCTAATTCAGCTCTGTACCAATTCATATCGTCCTCCATGTTAAGTATCTGCAATATCAAAATTTTTAAGAAAGATACTATCACATTGAGTATTTTACTGAACTAAAACCTTTGTACGAGTGAGAAAACTTACCTTGAGGACCTGATTCTTTCTAAAACTGAGTTCATCATCAGCAGTTGCTGTGAAGTCGTGTTTGGCTATAGCCTCCATGTTCAAATTAGGCACTTCACTGAAATGTCACCGAATACCAAAATAACCCGCAAAGTATGCCTCCTATCAATAACTCTTAGAGTTAGGGCATTAACACAATCATAATGCATGTATTGTCTGATAAAATCACTATAAAATAAGCGTGCTTCTCGCGTTACTTCAAATAAATTTTGTTCAATTTCGGGGCACACATCAGTCACATCACCACTTCACAGAAATACTACCAAAAAAAAAAGCAGTTCAGTGTGTGTGACCATATTTAAATTAGGAATCCTGCTAGTTTCTTGACAAATGCTCGTAAACCATGGACGTACTATTAAACCCTACCACTACAATGGTGTCGATTCTGGCGTGATTCTCTAAACTTAAAACTTTTAACATCAGTCTCTCTTTTTCATTCTGTATAGAGAATGACAAGGATACACAGTTGTCAAATTTAAATTTAGATTTAAAGAATCGTGCCAGAATCGACACCAGGGGCGTCGTGTAGCCTTACTGACATCCCTGCCGCAGGGGCAATCTAGGGTGTAAGAGTGGAGATGACCCTTAATTGTGATGTGATTAGGCAACCAGAGGCAATTCTCTAAATTGGTTCTGCAGCAGGGCGGCACCCTTGGTTCCTAAATTGTCCCTGCCGCACTGCACGTTGCCGCGTGTGTAGCGCAAGCGGGGCAATTTCTCAACCAGTTAGTTGTTAACTGTCATACGGAGCTTACGGAGCGCACGTATTTCAATCAAGATGGTGACCGATTATAATGAGCAGTTTGGTCTCGAGTGATAGAAGTATATAAAAATACCGACCCTGCATGTGAGGGGAAAAACAACCACAAACACTATTTATTTACAATACATTTCTTTCTCCTGCCAATTCTTCGCCCAGTATTTCCACCATAGAAAGAGCCAAGGCCCTACCTAACGATCTTTTAATTTTTAATACTCTGGGGGCCATTATCAACGCATGTGTTTAGCTCAACTTATACCTGAACATTAAACAGCAAGCATTTGTGTAGAGACAAGCCGATATTGCCCCGATCGCCGTGCGCCCTAGATTGGCCCTGCGGCAGGAATGATTTGAAAACAGTGTATCCTTGTCATTCTATATATAGAATGACAACAGTGGTGTCGATTCTGGCGTGATTCTCTAAACTTAAAACTAAATTTAACATCAGTCTCTCCTTTTCATTCTGTATAGAGAACGACGGGGATGCACTGTTGTCAAATTTAAGTTTAGCTTTAGAGAATCATGCCAGAATCGACATCATTGGTACCAATTCTAGCGTGATTCTCTAAACTTAAAACTAAATTTAACATCAGTCTCTCCTTTTCATTCTGTATAGAGAATGACAAGGATATACTGTTGTCAAATTTAAGTTTAGGTTTAGAGAATCACGCTAGAATCGACACCACTGTATCCTTGTCATTCTATATATAGAATAAAAAGAAGATACTGGTGTCGATTCGGGCATGATTCTCTAAACCTAAACTTAAATTTGGCGACAGTGGTGTCAATTCTGACACGATTCTCTAAACCTAAACTTAAATTTGACAACAGTGTATCCTTGTCATTCTCATTAAGGAATGAAAAAGAGAGATTGATGTTAAATTTAGTTTTAAGTTTAGAGAATCACGCCAGAATTGGCACCAGTGTATCCTTGTCATTCGCTATACAAAATGAAGAGGAGAGATTGATGTTAAATTTAGTTTTAAATTTAGAGAATCACGCCTGAATCGACACTGGTGCTGATTCTGGCGTGTTTCTCTAAACTTAAAACTAAATTTAACATCAGTCTCTCTTTTTCATTCTGTATAGAGAATGACAAGGAAACACTGTTGTCAAATTTAAGTTTAGATTTAGAGAATCGTGCCAGAATCGACACCACTACTGGTATTAATATAGTTTTAAGTTTAGAGAATTATGCCAAAATCAACACCGCTATCATATTATGATTACAATCTCTAAGTAAAGCAAGAAACATATTAATATGTCGTGGCGTGTCTGGACCTGTGGTTTTGACGCATTTGTTTCATACATTTATTAGGGGTTAGAGAGATAAGAGAATCGACACGACATGACACGCACACGACAAGTTAATATGTATCTGGTTTAAATCGAAGTTATACCACAGACTCGGTACTTATATACGTAATTTTTAATTACGTGAATTAGTTTTCAAAAGCACTAGCTGAGGGCGCTAAGTCAATGTTTGTACCTTTATCCATACTTTATTTGTTTTTTTAATACAGTTTGAATTAACCTTGATTATTTTAAAAAAACTACAATGAAATTCATCTTGCTTGCTCCATTCTCTTTTTTGTTGTTTTTCGTCGTCTATTGCACACAGAACTGTTCAGGCAAAGCCCAAATTTTGAAATTTAGACAAATTTGGAGCCATTTCTACAACACGGCTAAGACAGCTACTAATACAGTCCGCGCATGATACAAGTGCATACGTGTTTTCATGCCAGAAGACGGCTCGCGAATGCGTGTTGGCGCGTGGAATACATCCGTGTAGCTGAAAATCATAAATCGGATGAAAACCAACTTCCCACCAAGGTCACCTTGGTTGGAACGCTGGATTACATCCGTCTAGAATAGCTTTAAGTTCAGAGAAGCATGCCAGAATAGCTCCCATTAGTGACCTGCGATAAATATATTACATGTAATCTCTTGGCTATTCATGCGTATTTTTTATTTGTAAAGTCAGATAAAAATAAAAAATAAAGAAAAGACCAATGACAAAAAATTATATATGAAATCCTAAAAATTTAACTGTATGATCTTAATTTCTTTTGCCTACTGTATGATAGAAATAGAAATCAAAAAAATATTGGTGTGACAGCTGCCATTTTTGACAAGTCTTTTAAGTCCATTTTGCCTCCCAGTGGCGTTACACGCGTAAGTGAATATTTTAAAATCGTATAATTATCAAGAAATCATGCCCCATTGCATTATTTTTAAAATACATTTGGGGCACGGGTTTGATCTTTTCGACAGTTTCAGAAATATTTACTTACCATAATTAGAAATCCTAACTTAGCCGGTTGTTCGTGCCTTATTTTCAGGTTTAGTCGTAACTCTAATAAACGCAACGATGTCGGGAGGATTAGACGTATTAGCCCTCAATGAGGAAGATGTCACGAAGATGCTTGCAGCAACAACCCATCTTGGGTCTGAAAATGTCAACTTCCAGGTATGTAATAGTGGTGATAAATTCTAACCTCAGAATGGTTCACATGACATTATGTTTGTGTTATTTTATGATGAGATAAGAATCCGTTCCACTTCTCGTCCGATCCTAGTGACGATTATATTCTCCCAACTGAATTTCACTCGTGGTAAGGTTACAAAATTGTGTTGATTGTATTTCGCTCATAGACACTTTGTTTTTAGATGGAGACGTATGTTTACAAGCGCCGTGCCGATGGCACCCATGTTATCAATCTCCGCCGTACATGGGAGAAATTGGTGCTCGCTGCTCGTGCTGTAGTGGCTATTGAAAACCCAGCGGACGTGTTCGTTATCTCTTCTCGTTCTTTTGGACAGAGAGCTGTCCTTAAGTTTGCCGCACACACTGGAGCTACACCAATTGCCGGCCGTTTCACTCCTGGTGCATTTACTAACCAGGTAAAATTACCAATTTGTTAATACTAACAACCTGTCTATTGAACTGCACTAGGTATCTACTGTATCACTACTCTTGATGCTACTTTATTTTATTTATAACTTAATGTGATGACAAACACAACTAAGGAACCACTGACTTGCACTTTATGCAAAAATGATTAGACATTAATCTGATTTATTTCTATAGACTTAATATAGAAACTCATTTTTTTAACCCTATAAAATGAATAATATTTGGTTTTAGATTCAAGCTGCATTCCGTGAGCCACGTCTGCTGATTGTTTTGGATCCTGCTCAGGACCACCAGCCTATCACTGAAGCCTCCTATGTCAATATTCCAGTCATTGCATTCTGTAATACTGATTCACCACTTAGATTTGTTGACATTGCTATTCCATGCAACACTAAGGTAAGAAAGAGTTTAAAATTGTCATAAATTAGATTTAAAAGTACTGTAAGTTATCCAAAGAAATAAAATAAAACTGAAACTAGGCATTTGTATTACAAGAAGTTTTGCATTGAGTATTTAATTCTGTTTTTGTTCAATAAAACTTTGTATTAGTATTTTTCAGTTTTCTGACTATTGGTCGTATGTTAGGACGAAAATTTACAATTAAATGTTTTATTAATTTTCAGTCTTCTCATTCCATTGGTCTGATGTGGTGGCTCTTGGCTCGCGAAGTTTTGCGACTACGCGGCGTTCTCGCGCGTGACCAACGCTGGGACGTGGTGGTCGATCTATTCTTCTACCGCGACCCTGAAGAAAGCGAGAAGGAGGAACAGCAAGCTAAAGAACAGGTATTCAAAGAACTAATTAAACTATCCTAGTTCCTCTAATAAGCAAGCTACTCAATCCTTCTTCAAAAGTAGAAAATAAAAAAGGGAAAATTAATAGTATTATAGATTTTTATGCTAAAGCACAAAACTTATTTTTAAACCATAATAACATTTTCAATCCTAGGATAAATCCAATTAGTCTGATATGGAAGAGTTGTTTTAATTTGTCTTTATTGTTATATTTTTATGATGTGCATGCAACAATATTAAATACCCTATATACACCAAAATGTGTCCCTATCAAGAAGGGCTTGAACACAACTCTAGCACTTCTTGGTTCACAGTCACTATGTGCGTGTTCACAAAAATATTAAATAAATACTTATAGTATGTAAAATGTCGGTTTTTTGACAGGTATCTAATCGGTGTTTGTTAATTTAACCCATTTGAAGCAAATTTTGTTCTAATATTTATTATAAACTGATTTAATAGAAAATATTTGTGATAATCAAATGCATGGTACTTAATTCCATTACATGTAATTGAATTTCGGGGTAATTTGTAGGGGAGGGGGAGGGGGGGCTCCCCCGACCCCCCGCCATAAAAGATTTTTGGCGGAAATGCAGTTTTTTTTACCTAACCTATAAATTCATTAAATCTGTTAAATGTAGTGGAATTTCAGGGGGATAGGTATTAGGGAAGACCCCTCAGAGGGAAGGGTCGTTTTTTTTACAGAAATGATAATTATAAAAAATTAGAGGGTTTTAAAGGTAAAACTGTACTTCCAGGGCCTAGAGGTGATATTTGATTTTTTTGTAGAAAAAGTCTCTTTTAACGAATTTTTCTTTCTGGTGCTTCGCCGGCCGCTGCCGCGGCACGCTCGCTACGCTCGCTCGGCTCGCGCGTTACGATCACAACACTAACCTAACCTAGTGTGAAGTATCACCACACAAGTGGCTCATTAGAGTCCAAAACTCGCACTACACTCGACTCTTCAGGCGAAGGGACAGCAGAACTCGAGGCCGAAGGCTTTGAGGATGCCATGGTAGTCAGACGATGTTAATATCAACAGGAGTACGAAAAAGCTCTCAACTGCGACGAACACAAACACTGACTGACAGATCTCATTAATGGCGGTAAATTGTCACATTTTGACAATAGTACCAACATAATAAACTTATATTTACCATAGACAACGAGAAACATGTTATTTTTGCATAAAAAAATGGCAGCACTGATCAAAATTGCTGTCAAAATTGACTCCCTAACCTACAAAAATATTAATTTTCAATAATTTTTTTCTCGAGTTCTATTCGTTTCCGCCTAAAGAGATTTCGTGTACGTGTTTTTAATTGTTAATACTTTGCGTGACAAAAATTTTAGCTTGCAACTGAATTACATATAATGGAAAGCTGAGCCAAATGCATGGGCGTTAATATAGCTATCTCTTTTCCTCGCGCTCCGTTCTGTTCCATCGTACCTGCTATTTTGCTTACTGCGCATTCAGAATTGCATGTTGAGTCAAGTCAATCACAGCTTACATTTTGGATTGTCATATCACTTTGATGCTTGTAATTATGACCTTGTATGGTGTGCTTTAAAGGTGATTTTCAATGATTTAATAATGCCTTATATTGTTTTGACCTATGAAATCTTATCTCACAGAGCACTGTGGATCGTCCAATGTACCTTTTGGACAGGTTCCGGGCATGATTTTGTTTGTGTTGTTGTATCTATACAACAACTCGAACAAAATCATAACCTAGAGGGTATTTAATATCCTTGTGTGCATGTCATTTCTAGATTACCACTTTTTTAAATTGTTTTACTCTTCTTTTCTGACTTTTCTCTAGAGAGAGATGTTAGATTTATTTTTAAGTTTCGAGAATCATGCAAGAATCTCGACACCAATGTATTGTCAAATTTAGTGTCAGGTGTAGAGGAATCATGGCAGTTTACTCTTGTTCATTACAATATAGGCATTTATAATTCATTCATAGACCTAACATTGGTTCGACCTTGTATCTGCATCAGTAGCATACCATGTAGTTTGCTGTCATGTGAAGCATCATTATGTTACTTTAATACCTAATCCTGGAGGGCCTCCGTAGCAGAGTGGTCTATAGGCCAGGTCTGCCACTCTGTCAGGGGTTCGAATTCTAGTGGGAGCAAATGTTAATATGATGATTACAAACATTTGTATTGTAGTCATGGATGTTTATAATATATTTCTGGATAAAATAAACTTATTGTTACCCTAACATCCCATTACTTAGCCTTACAGTGCTTACTTTGGGTTTAATGGTATGTTTGTGAAATATTTATTTATTTAATCTTATGTTTACCAGGCTGTGGTGGCAGTGAAGCCTGAGGTGCCAGCCCCCGTTCACGAGGACTGGACGGAGACCGTGGAGCCGGTTGCGTCGTGGGCTGAAGACGCCGCCCCCGCTGCCCCCGCGCCTGCCTTCGGAGCCCCGGCCCCTCAGGAGGACTGGGCTGCTCAGGTAATGCATTATAGGGTCATTATAACGCCGATGACCCCGGGGACGGGAAGGTGATCGTGGGGCCAGTTGAGTCATGGGCTGAGGATTGCACCACGGTTTCACAAATATCATCCATGCAGCGTTGCCAGACGTACCGATATTGGCGGGACGTCCCAATTTTTAAATCTAAATTTAATGTCCCGCGCGGGACAGGCTATATCCCGCTTTTCGGGAATAACTCTACCGTGCGTGCAGCGTACTGAGGAAGCGCGGGTGTCACAGACAAGTGTGAACTGGTAATGAAGATAAATATTCAATATATATAATACTTTTGATTATATACGTTTTTTTTTAATATGTCCCGCTTTTGACGAAAGAATCCCGCTTTTTCACTAAAAGTTCCTAAATCCTGACTTGGCAAAAGAAAAATCTGGCAACGCTGCATCCATGACTTTACCAGTGATTAAGTTGACATTATAAGCTGCCATTCACTAAAGATATGGCGTCACTTTTGACTGGGTGGCTAACATCCTTACAAAATTGTTCAATTTTTTAAACAACATTAAAAAAACAGAGATATATAAAAAAAAGTTTTAAAGTATCAGTTCATGTTACAATATAGATCAAGCTTTTAAATGATAAATGTTTCATCACTAAACTAAAACTAAACAAAGGAGACTATAAAAAGATTAAAATAATTTTTCAAGAGTAAAAATCTTAAATCTGATGTCCATGATATTCGAATACATTTCTGCACTTGCAATTTAGTCAATATGATTAAAAATCCTACGTCTATTTTTACAATCCTAGTCTGGTGATTGCAGCTTTTTTTATCATGTCTGGGATTTGAGAGGATAGTCAGAACCACAGAACAGAAAAAAAGAGTAGGAAGTCGCAAGTAGGGGTCACCCGCGTAACCTCGGGTATGCGAAGCTTATCATATATGCTAGAACTTACGCGTCGGTTGCAATAGAGATAGTGAGAAACGTTTAGCGAAAAAAAATAGATATAAGCTTAATTGTTCTATACTTCAAAAACGTAAGCCACAAGCATAATGTATCCAATGGAGGCATAACATACCACTGATACGTATTATTTTAATATTTTTTACTGTAATTCAAAACTCGAATTTCGTTGCCATTTGCATGATGAAAAACAAGTCAAATTCAACTTTATTCCTTAAATATATATGAAGTTGATTCGCAAATTCATTGAAATGAATTCAAGAATGGTCCATGAATTCCTGTTTTATTCTTATTCCGGAAATAGCTCAATTAGTGTTCAGCATGTATAATTTGAGTAGTATTGATAAGTCCTAATATTGACTTATCAATACTACATTAAATATGGCAAAAGTATTTTAATGTAAAGTAATGTCTTTATAATTGATGATATACTAATAAATAAATATAATTTAGGAGTTAATTATACTTTTTCAGTTATCCTAAGAGGCTTATATAAAGAAAAAGTGGAATTATATGCGATGGGGAGACAAAATTGGTTTCCAAGTAATACAAACACTATGCTTAGTGCATTTCAAAGATGACGATTTCGTTTTCAATAAATGTGGTAAAAGATATCTAGTCTGTGTAAGAATCGTCAACTTGCTGTTTTTTATGTTTTGTATAAGGCAATTATTAATTTGTATTTTTAGAAATGTCACTTTGATGCACTTTGTCGTTACGAATTGGCGAGTTGTTGAGTGGATTTTGATGCTTTCGTTTATTTGGTAGTTTTTTTTTGCTATTATCGTAAGCATGACTGTTGGTTTCTTTTATATGAATAGAGTTTATTATGTAAGTAAAGTAGATTTTTATTTTTTTTTATTTTTATTATATTTGGTAGCCATCCAAAAATTTTGGTTAGGAAATAAAAGCAACCTAAAATTATAATAGTACTTATATTATTTATCAAATTATCTTCATCAATCATCAAAATCCGTCTATAAATCTCAGAGTTATGAGGTTAAAAATGTAAAAGAATATATAGCAGTATTGAGTACCTCCCTCTTTTTAACAGACTTCAAAAAAGGAGGAGGTTCTGTGTTCGACTGTATATATATATATTAATTTAGAGTATTAAGTATATTTTGACTTATGCTGATTTGCTTAAATGGATAGTATAATGAGCCAGCAGTACTTCTTGAGGCTTTTATTAGTAAATCACAAAAGAAATCACTCTACATAATAAAATTAATATATTTTCTCTCTAACACTCGAGCGCGTTGCTATGATACTCACAACTCGACTCTACCGCGCAAGCGTGCAATTCGTAGGGTTGACGAACCTATATGGGGATGACCTAGGGTTGTTACACACTCCCCCTCTATTTCGAACCTAGCGCCCTCGCGTTCGGACTAGCGCCTAATGTCCCCACGGTCTTCTGCACCTATTGTCTTCGCGGCCTACCACGCCTACGTCTTTCCCTAACTGGAGACTCGATAACGCCTACAAAAGGGGTCAAAGCAGACACATGATACCGACCTATCATCTCGCCTCGAGAAGCTCCTTCTAACAGGTAAGTCGTCGGGCTTACGACCTCTCGGATCCGGTACGGCCCATCTCTTCTTGGTATAAACTTAGCAACTTGTCCCGTTCCGGTGTCATTAGCCCCCTGAGTCTTCAGCAGGATAAGGTCTCCGACTTTATAGTCGGGCGGCGGACGACGGCCCTCATCCGCGTATGTCTTATGAACGGCTTGCGCGCGTTCGTGCACGTCCCTGGCCTCTAAGAGCTCGTTAGCCAAGTTACGAAGATAAGGCGTAATGTTAGCGACGAAGTTATCACTATCCACAATAGCCTTCATATCTGCCACAACGTCCGCCGGTGCGCGCAGCTCCCTACCAAAAGTTAGGTAAGCCGGTGAAAATCCAGTGCTGGTTGTAACAACGGAATTCATCGCAAACCTAATGGCTCCGAGGTGGGTATCCCATGTTGTGTGATCTTTGCCCACGAGGATTGCTAACTGAGGCTTCAAATCGCGGTTTTTGCGTTCAACGGGGTTAGCTTCGGGGTGATACAACGGCGTCAGAGACTGTTTGATACCCATCACATGACAGGCCTGTTGCATCACCTCGGCAGCAAACTGCACACCGTTGTCGCTTATCATCCTACGTGGCACTCCATATCTCAGGAATACTTCTGATATAAGAATTTGGGTGCACTCGACACTGGTGGCGCTTTCTAAAGGGAAAAGCTCTACCCAACCAGTGCACACATCCTCCGCGACCAAAATCCAATTGTTGCCCCGCGGAGTTCTCGGCAACGGACCGAATAAGTCCACTGACAACACTTCAAACCTTCGGGCTGGCGCCGGAGTTTGTAGGAGACCTGCAGGCTCCTTGTTTATTGCTTTGTAGCGCTGACAGGCCACACAGCGCTTCAGGTAGTCTGTAACAAAGGCCTTCATCCCTGGCCAAAAGTACCGGGACCTAATGCGCTGCAAAGTCCTTTCGGCGCCAAAATGTCCCGCGGTCGGAGCGTCATGAAACTCTTTGAGCACACTCTCCCTTTCGTGTGTTGGGACCACAAGGCACGCTGACTCGGTGTCCTCGGACTCTGGTGCGCACCTATACAATATCCCATCAGATATCAAATACCCCCTATTAGACCAACCCCTCCCCCTGAACAAATCTTCGGTTGCCTCCAAATCCTCAATGATTGTCTTGAGTTCGGGATCTCTGAGTTGATTGTCCCGCACATCAGCAGGAGTCCTGCGTGGCATGTCTAGAGTAATTACTCACTACCGCTCGAATCATCTTCTAATCTGTCGCGCCGAGCATCTGGCGGTTGCATATGGGAAGCATCCTGAAGTATGTGATTGGACACCTCGATGTCGCTGGCTGGCTCTCCTCCGTCCTCATCGCTGGGTATTTCGCGAGATGCGCTCGCTTGTCCAGCTTGTCTACGAGTGCGAGGCATTTTCTCTCGGCACTCGACAGCGGTCTCTCCTCAGCGGTGAACATGGAAAATTGAGTTGTACTCACGTAATAGTAACTGTTTGTCGCAGGTCGTTTTATCTTGTTCGACGCGTATTATCGACGTCGAACCCGCTAGTTGGGCGCCATTTATAATGAGCCAGCAGTACTTCTTGAGGCTTTTATTAGTAAATCACAAAAGAAATCACTCTACATAATAAAATTAATATATTTTCTCTCTAACACTCGAGCGCGTTGCTATGATACTCACAACTCGACTCTACCGCGCAAGCGTGCAATTCGTAGGGTTGACGAACCTATATGGGGATGACCTAGGGTTGTTACAATAGTCTTTTCTTGATCAGTTGGGGGTATCTTAACCTTTGTGTGTGGTATGTGTACTATTCAATTTAAGGCGTAGCTTTAGTTTTTAATTTGTGTGTTTTGGTTACACTGGTTCTTGTACTAAAACGATATGATGCTACTTTTACTCTTTTTTCTGTTCTGTGGCTACAACCTGCGGGTCTATTCGCTAACTTGTTTGACATTTAGTGTATAATTAAAGAGAAAATTGCATATCCATCGATGTTTTTAGAACAGGTATCTCAGTGGCGGTATAATAAAGCAGTAGTGGATCTCTAAATAGCTTAGTGATTATTACTTCCATTTGTCAAAAGCAGTTAGTAAAGAGGCCTATTGTACTTTTTACTTAAGTTTATACTATTATGATTTCGATAGTTGTCCATGTTACTCTAACTTGCTACTAAAAACATAAAGCAACGCGGCCAGGAAGGGAGTAGGCATTCACAGCGTTGCCCTCTGTCAATTTTCCCCCGTTTTTGGGCCAGCTCAAAAACAATTTGAGCTTCGGATTGACTGTGACTTGTTTGACAAAAGAATCGAATCGCCAGTACCAGATCTGTCAATAAATAAATCTTAAGTCATCATCTATGCCCAATTTAGCGCTGTAATTTTTTTTATTTTTGTGAGTGTCGTAATTACAATTTCGTTTTTGCGAAAGTATGTTAGATTGCATTTGAGTGTATATTCCTCCCCCCGCAAAAAGCGGCAGAATGATTTCAGTAGTATTATGTCATTAGGGCTACTCCCCTCCTAGCCGCGTCGGCTATGTTGCTTTATGACTAAAAAGGATGGTCGACAGTGTAAAGTAAGCCTTCTGTCTACTCCATTTATTCACCCTTTTTTTTTTCATGTGGCCAGTCCATTTTAAGTGGATGTGTATACTTTTAGTTTTCATTTCTGCTTTTGTGGCTGTTTATTTTAGCATATAATATTAATGTTTAAATATTTTTTGTTTATAGGTACATGACGAATGGGGAACTGCAGCTGCGGCGACAACTGGAGCGCCCGCTCCGGCACCTCCTACGGCCGCTCCTTCATGGGGAGGCTCACCTGACTGGAGCGCTTCGTAAACTTAGCGTTTATATCTGCTAATAAACACTTAAATCTAGCCTGTTGCTTTTATTTAAAGGACAATGGGCAAAACACACCCAGCTTTGCCAACAATGTAATTAGTATGAATTGATAGATCTATAAAAAACTAGCCATTTTTATTATGACACCGTAAAAAATATCCTGGTAGTCAAAAGATATGATACCGTAAAAAATATCATGGTAGTCAAAAGATATGACACATGGGCATATTTAGGTAGCTAAATAAACTCATTTTATAGTACCTTCATTTTATATTATTACTATTATTAGTAACCATAATAATATGCCATATCGTACTATACAACCAGATATACGACAAAGCCAGCCAACCATCCTGCGCTTGCACTTACTGAGACACCTCAAAACGGTTTACGGGGGTTGAAGGACTTGCAGTTGCAAATAGTCGACTCGTCCTACTTCGTTGTGATTATGCGCTCCCTGTCACTCGATTGATTTTTATCTAACAAGCTATGAACATTGGAACACGATTATCGGTTTTGTCAGTTATGTATAGTATGGATGGACTGGAATCGTTTTCTCCAAAGCGTTGGACAAGTTTGTGTGATTTGTGGTCGCTCCGTTTTAAATAGAAGACCATTTTACTATAACGAACAGAATGTTTGAAAAACCCTAACCCATGCGGGGATTTTTGGATTTACTCCAGCGCGGCAGAATAACATAAGGGGGCACCCTTGCACCTTGTGAAGTACTCCCATAATACCCGAGCCCCCTATGTATTCCCTTGTTTCATTAATGTTCGTTCGTTATAGTACTTGTACCTATTTAACTTAAAATAGCTAGACATCCATTGCGTCCCGAGGGATGGAATTTGATGCGCTTTGGCACAGATGATCATGACTAATACATTTCAAACAAATGTTAAACTACATTGCCGTGGCGGACGTGGGTGCAGCATGTAAATACTACTCTGGGTGCAGCGTCCATATATTTTTACCCAATGTCCTTTGTCTTTTTACCTTTATGATAAGAGTTTACCTATGCTGAAGTAATTTAACTGTTCTAACTTGTTGTTGCTCAGAATCAGCATCAAACTGCTACACTGATTAGAAGACATGTCATTCATGCTGTTGAGTCTGTCTGAAGGAGATTTTTTGACGTGTAACATCTTTCCGCTCGCTTTCCTGCAATTTGTGGGAGTGATTTCGTGAAATGGGACGGAAGTGTGCAACAGGAAGTCACGAAAGCGCTATTTGATTTTAGAACATAATGTTCAAATGGCTTATTCCTTTTGTTGTACCTAGGGTTTTTTTCTTTTTTTACTAATTTAAGGTGAGATTTCAAATGTTACACATACACGACTACTGTAGGGCACGCTCGTTTTTTTTTGTAAGATCCGATCGTTCAAAGTTGTTCTTAATAATTTTATGGTGAATTTGCTTTGTTGGTTTCTGAAATTCGCTTCAACGCGCTTCGACTTTGCGCTAGAATGAATTGACCATAAGGGTCAGTTCAGTCAAGGCAAAAATGCCCGAGTAAATAACTAGCTAAATTGAAAATAGGACCGTATTACTATAGCATTAAGTAGAAAATTTTATGAATAACGACACAGTCGGCTCGCGACTCGTTCACGTGCTTGCTCGCGCCCCCTCGGGAGTTCTCGAAGATGCTCGAAACCGCGCGAGTAGGTTCTGACCTGCTCGCTTACCGCCGCTTGCGCTTACAATGTATTTTATTAACATGTTCTTCTTTTTCCTGCTCTTCTACCAAAAATACAATGATTACAATATAAAAGTCAATAATTTATTTCCACGTGCGATCACGTCGAACGATGATAAAAAATGCGACGACAAGCAACCCCGGTGAATTTCATAGCTTAGCCTCGCGTCGACGCACCGATCCTCGCGCGGGCTCGAGCCTGTCGCTGTCTCTAAGCGTATATTTGCTCTTTACGTGAATAGCGATCAGAGGAGGCTCGAACCTTTTTACGTTCTGTCTGAAATGATCCTAAGGCCCGTATTACAGAATGACAACTAAGTGTTGATTTTTACTTGAGTACAGTTAGAAAGGGGTATCGCTATGTGCTATATATAGCGACATCCCTTTCTAACTATACTCAAGACTAGATCAATCACTGAGAATCTTTCTTTAATACAGGTGCGTACCTACTAGTGTTGCCAGGTGTCCCGATTTTAAAGGGTCTGGGGACGCGTCCCCATTTGTAACTAATCGGGACGCTATCCCGATTTATCAAAAAATTAAATTTAGGTAATAAATATAATACTATACTTGCACTAGTAGTTTAAAACGCAATGAATTAAACCCAGACTTAAAAACCCCTTGTTTTTTGTTTACTGTCCCGATCTGTAACCCTAAATCCCGATAGTTTTGACCTCATGTACCGATTTAAAACAAATCGGACCCGGCAACATTAGTACCTACTGCGAAGCTGTATCCTAACGGTTAAGGTTCATAGGACAAGTAGGAACGTTTCTTTACTCATGTGGTCTAGGTCTGTGAGATTAAGCGTTTATTCCCTGTCGTCCCCGCGGGGATTGCCAGCGACAAAAGGGAATATACGAGATTAAGGTAAGCACATATACAAAATGTACATTCGACCCTTACTAACATACGCGGCGCCCGCTTGGTTTGCATTACTGTCCGAAACGCAGCGGAAACGCATCCGCGCGCAACAACATCTCACCCTGCGAACCATCACCAAAGCGGGCCGCTATGTTAGTAACGCCACTTTACATCGCGACCTGAAGATAGAGCCACTGGACGAGTTTGTAACCCGTCTATCCCAAGGAATGTATGATCGAGCGGACGCCTCGACGCATGAGCACCTGCGCGACATCGCGCCCGCGTACGAGCGCTCTCATACAAGACGCAACAGGGCCTTCCCACGAGAGCTAGCCCCACCTGAGATGACGCCCTCAAACTCCCGCCCGCGACATACGCAGGCGGTCGAGCAACAACCACCGGACTGACGAAGGCCCCGCCCGCATGGCGCGGGCGGGCCACCCACTGAAACACACGCACACACCTAGATTGTTCAAAAAAAAATATATATAAAACACTAAAAAAAAAAATAATAAAAGAAAAGAAAAGAACAAAAAAATACATACAAAAAAAAAGAAAAATAACAAAAACAACAATCTAGATACACACATGCATCCACACAAAAAAAAAAGACAGCCAACACCCTATACGACTATCCAGCCCCCCCCACCTCATCACAAGTCCACCGCCTGCTCGCTGGTCGTTCACCGGGCCTCCCACAAGGGTCTCACCCGGTGGGCTTGACCGCGCCGAGGGCGGTGGTGAAGACGGAGGGGGAGAGTGGAACCTAAAGACCGCTCTGCAAGAGGCAGAGTGCGCACCCGAAGCATCCAAAAAGACGCAAGTCTAAAGGATTCCCCGCACGCCGCGGCGCCTCCGGCGCCGGCGATGCGCGAGACGACGATAAGAGAAGGTAAGCACTTTGTACGGTGACAGCTCGAAGACACTTTTGAAACTGCCCTTCAATTGATAACGTGCTTAGTAAATGTAGGTATCTACCGATACTTTCCAATATTATTTATTCTTTATACTTATTTACATAGAATTCATCTAAGATAACAATAAATTAGTAATTGTTTTAGGTTAGCTATTCTATTTCCCGTAGAGGTGGACTCTATATAGACAGGTGTATTTATCGTTGCCTTGGTTCGACAATACTCTAAAGATAATTTTGTTTAAAGGCAGGTTCCAGTTGAATCTGTAGTATTGCTTTGCAGGTCCTCTAGCGTAGTAGTTTCCTTCTGCTGCCTTCACATAAGTACCATTCTCCAAGAAAACCTGAAAATCAAGTTTGTGATGCGTGTTTAGGGGCATTTTTTCGCATATTATTTTCTTTGGATTACAGGATTATTTTTATTGACAGGTGGTGGTAGAATGGCCAGTGACCTCGATGGTACACGTACACGGGATTCAATTCCATCACACATTTTTTTATTTATATTAAATATGTTTATAGTTATTGAAGTTACCTAGTAGGCAACTGACTTATTTTTTAAATAGTTAAATAAAACTAGTTTTTACGGGTTAATGCACGAAACTTTATTTATTTATTGACGTTTCGTAGCCTTTACATTCTACGTCGTCAGAATCAAACTTTTATTTTAATAATTATTAACATTAACACTAACCCGTAAAAACTAGTTTTATTTAATGAGTGATGTGCGTGAAAACCTAAGAAACAAATATTCCAAAGTAGTTTCCATGAGTTGAAGTTAAGTAGATAGATATTATGTTCTTTTCTCAAACAATGGAAATTTAAACATTATTTTGGCAACCTTCTTCGAGATCAATCGAAATTGCTGTACTGGCCACATACATGCAAGCAGAGGCCAGCAAAAGTTGTATGAAAATCCATAACTGTCGTGCTAGTAGCGGCCAAATAAATTACAAAGTAAACTTATATCTGTCATCTTTTTATTCCGAAATCAAATGTTTTATTTGAATTTCGAACTGTCTTGTAAATAGAAAGCTGTTTATTGAAATAAAAACAAATTAATGAGTATTGTTATTTGCCATTGATTTTTAAGAGAGTTCTGTCTGGGTACTACTTATCTAGTTTTAATTTCCGCGCATTATTTGAGAAAATTACATAATTTACAAGCCTTGGCCACAACGAGGTTTGGTAGACTAACGTATGCGTGCCTCGGCTTTGCCTCGGCCCACATTTACACGTTCATCCATCAATACCTCTTTTGCTGGCCACTGCAGTAATGTACTAAATATTAAAATTTGTGCTTACAGAAGTCATACTAACATAAAATATAAAGTGCTTAGGTGCACTTTTGGCCGCGTCTGGTCGAATATGCTCTAAACTGATTGATCCTATCTGCGTATTACTTGGTAGTTCTATCAAGATTTCTCCGTGTGATCCTCTGGAAACAAAGAGTTTTAAGTGAGGCATTTACACTTATGATGGTTATACTTACATACTATTCTCGAATTACGAATTATAATACATACATGGGGCTTGTGATTATATATGTCACCGCAAAATTGTAAATACTGTTAGATTATAATCTATCTCGCGAGATTATAAACTGTCGAAAGATTGTGAGCTGTAATATACTGCTTACAATTTAACGCATCATTTTTCGACGGATTATAACCTATTGAAGTAAAACTTATACTTATCTCTTTTTGACGACCTCCGTGGCCGAGTGGTTTGTACGCCGGGTTTTATGATGTCGCCGACTCGGGAGGTCCCGGGTTCAAATCCCGGTGGGGACAGATGTTAGTGTAATGAATGCGTGCATTTGTACTCTTAGTCATGGATGTTTAATATGTATTTCTATATAAATATACTTATATATGTACAGTATATGTATTCTATCCGTTACCCCAGTATCCCACAACATAAGACTTATAGTGCTTACTTTGGGGCTAAGCTAATTGGTGTGTGTGTTGGAAATATTTATTTATTTATTATATCACAATTTATCGGCTGTCCCTTATTGTTGGTCTTACAGTGGCCCGTTCTGTATCCATAGAATTAGTAATTGCAAGAAAGATAATGTTCATTGCAATTCCAGGTGCCACAGCTCGTTGACGTGTGACAATATGTAAACATATTTAATGGTGCAATTTACTTTCATAATTTTTTCTAATACTCGTAAGTACGTACATAAAGTAATGTTTTCGATTTTTGAAAAAAAAAAAAAAACTGGAGCATGGTTTTTACGAGAACAGAATTCAAAATTATCAAGTAAATTTTAACGGAAAATTACTTACATTAATATTATTAACTCTTAATCATTGGCTTATGACTTTAAATGAAACATTTCTAATTATTTTGAAACCTACCACACTTTTTGATTGATCTTCGATTTTCATTCCAATCAGAAATATATTAAGTACGTAGGTACAACTGAAATAAGCTGGCTTTTTCCTTACACCATTCAAGAGTTTTTGGATTAAAGTTACTTATTCAATGATTTGTTTATTGCCAGAAGTCATTATCAGAGGCAAACTGTGACAATAACAAGCAATAACAGTGAAGTCTATAAAATTATGAAGAAAATAAAAATCTCTATTGAGCAATATTATTTATTTATTATTCAGCGATACTGAGGATCGATATGTAGGTTACTGGCTTTAGCAAAACCGGCGACCTCGTTCCAACGAGCCTGCCATAATATTTGTTGATTTATATTGCAAAGGAAATGTTTATGCAAGGCTTATTTATACCACACGTATCCCGTATCTGGATTACAGTATGAAGATAGGTGGGTAGATAGGTAGGTAGGGAGGTACACCAGACGGAAAATTAATGTTCATAAATTAAAAACGGCTAACAGATATGACAACAACATTTGGATGTTGTTTGTGAGACACAGAACAGAATTTTCCGTGTGTGTAAACGTGCACTGAAAATATTATCGAGTTTGCGTTACCAGTTCAGTAAAACTAAGACAGGTATTCCACATGGTTATGGATAGAGTTTGTGTTATTGATATTTCCAGATCTAGATTTGTTCCACTGTGATTTGTAATGTAAGATATCCGCTATGACCTACTTGAAAGTTCTTACCTGAACGGCCAGCAGTCTGAAGGCGTAGGTTTCCTTAGAGTCAACACAGTGTCTGGAGGAGGGGCGGCTCTCCATAGAGGAACTACGCCCCATAATGCGAGTTGGCCTCCGTACTCCTCGGTGCTAAAACCTTTTGACACAGAAGCACCTTCTATGTATCTTCTGTTTGATCCTGCGTAATCTGTTAATTATTGTTATTCAAAGTTGAATGAATAATTTGATTGTCATCATAATCAGCATCTGGGTCTAGCAGGTAGGATATTGATGAGCTATTGATGTTCTATCTAATAGGCCACAGGACTTCCTTATGGATGGAAAGGGAAACGGGTTAACAGATATTACGTTGGCTCTGTACATATTGGCACGGTAATATTATCTATACAGTATTGTGGCTCGGCCTTGTCCTTAAAATAACTGCCTACGGCTGAGCGGGGCGTATCCACGCGGTAGGGCTGCCCGCCTACAGTATTTTAATTTCATCTACATTACACAATTGAGTTTCTTTCTAATTTTGTGATTATAAATATTTTATTTCATATGTAAAAAAATGTGAATGAATTAGGAAGTGTAAGTAATATATAATAAAATATATATATAGATTGGAGACAGAAAAATATTTACGCCTCGACTGAGACGTAAGAAAAACGATAAATACGCATTCGTATAAAAAGTTTAATTATTGAAGGGTTCAAGCAACCAAAAACAACACAATATCGACCATTGCTCTTTGCCATATTAAATGATGTAGGTATCTACTTAATTCAATCAAATATTCACAATACAAACGTTAAAGCACGGCTTTCGGCTTAAAAAACAATTCACATCGGTCGGTAGACGCTGCGACGCATTCGCGACTGGATGCCCACCATGGATGTTTGTATGAAGATAGAATACTGTATAGATAATATTACCGTGGTATTGGTGGGTGCTGACGACTGCAGATTCAGCTTCCCAGGAATAATGGCTTAACGTGCCCTCAAAGGCTTAAAATGTTTGGTCACCCGTTCTATAACTAGCCATTGGGAAAGTTTCAGTTCCACAATCGCAGATAAAACGCGCTTACCACTGCGTCATCGAGGTCAAGCTAGGTACTTTAATGAGTTGATATCGCAGTGTAAAACGCATTCAAAAGTAAATGAAAATTTACTGACGGCCATCGGATGTTTGCCTAAAACTTATTTAATATAATACACTTTGGATACTTTAATCACGGTAATTTAATTTAACAAAATAACATTTTAGATTTGAATGACAACAGACTTATAACCATTGCCCCTAAACCACAGAATATATATACTACCTAAACTACAATCAGTAGGTATTCAATAAAATATAATATGTATATTGATATATGCACGCGTCTTATAACAAGCATAAAAACGTTTTTTTGAGGTAAACTTTTCTTGGTGTTTTGGTATTAATAAAATAATATAATAAACGTAAGTATAAATATATCTTATGAAATGACAATGTCGTTTATGAAACAGCTATGAAAGAAACTTTATTAGGTAACCAGAGTTGCTATACCTACGCGCTTCGAAAGACACGTAGGTTAATATTTTATTTGAACTAGGCCACTCATACTGGTCATATTATATCATTTAAAACAAAAACAATGTCTTTACCAAGACTAACAAGATATAAAGCAATGTAGAAAGTTTATTTAAGGTCGTAGCAGACATATCAACTTGGAAAGAGATCGTCACTTTGTATGAAACTCCCGACCAATGTTGCCAATGAAAATTTTCAGCCGTGTAGTCAACTAAAAACTCTCCTCATAAAGGCGTTAAATCTAAGGTCGGCAGTGTGTGGAATATGCTACGACCTTGGGACATCGGCTGTAGGCCGTAGATTGTTTATGTCTTTCAATAAAAAAGCCGTAGAACACGGTAATTTCCTTAGCATTGGCAACACTGCTCCCTATAAGCTTCTTGACGGCAACGTACACTAATCGAAATCGCAACACTAGCTTAGCGTACGGTGCCGTATCAAACTTCCTATTTTCGTACAAAAAATACTGAACAGCTCGAGTTGATACGGTGACGATCCCTTTTCGAGTTGAAATACGTCTGCTATGACCTGTGGGCCAATCGCCTAACCAGATTGCTTTGGAAAACGCTATCGCTTACGATTTCATTTTGTTATTTCTAACCGCCGAAATACCTCACGCTCATTTTCTTTAACATTGTTATTACCAATGCAAAAGAAAAAAAAAGAGCGCGAGGCATTTGAAAACCTCAGGGGGCTAGAAATAACAAAATGAAATCGTAAGCGATAGCGTTTTCCAAAGCAATCCAGTTAGGCGATTGGCCCCCTGAACTACTTACATCAATCAGAGATGAGATACGTCAGATTTTATTAGGTAGCATCTATTTACTTTACCTAGCTAGAGTTATACAAGTTATTTGTTTAGTTAGATCTTTAGTTCGTTATATTATAATATTCGTAGTAAAATGAAAACTGGCATGTTCTGTTTGTTGGGACATGTGGAAAGAATTTCAAATGACACTGACGAAACCATGACCGAACAGACATACGTCATAAGACGCGATAGTGGAAGGATGCAGAAGCCGGGGAAGATTGATCGTGTTCCGATGGTAGCTGATGTCTTCAGAAAGTCGCAAAAACCGGCGCTCGTGTATGAAAAGAGTCACGAATGGAAAGAAAGCGAAATACTTATTTGTGCATGGATCGTGCATTAGGGCGTTTAGTTCTCTCAGCCTTCACCCGGGACACGGCGTGATGTGTGTTCATCAGGGGCGTATTTACCCTAGGGTTAGGGCCGGATTTAAGGCAGGGCAGGCGGGGCTGTGGCAGACCAACAGGGGGACGGGGGAGGCAAATTCGTTGCCCCAGGGCCTCCACACCTCTAAATCCGGCCCTGCTTAGGGCCAAGCGGGCTCCGTAGTTTGAAATCCTTATCTTTGCCTTCCTTTCAATCCACATAATGAACTATCTGTACCGCATTTTTCATATAAATTCGTTCAGTAATTTTTACGTGGTTACAAAATACAAACAACTGACAAACGTGCAAATCTTAGCATTCATAATATTATGTCAGTAAGTATTTTGTTAATCTTTCATTGTTGTGATTTTTTGGTAGGTAAGTATTATTCATACTGTAAGTATGAAATTGTTAATATTGAGTATAATATTAAGCAACATCCCACCTGTTCTTGTTATTTGTGAGGTAATCGCCATAGTTCGACGTATTTGTTCTGAATGTCTGAAAGGTAAATTGAATTTTTAATTACATCATTTTCTGTAGGTACTAATATTTAGCATGAAGATTCACACCTACTTTCGGTTATTATGCTTTTATTTTTTGATCCTACTAGGAACCTGTCGTTTATTGCAGAAATTTTAATTTAAGCAGTAGTATTGTTAAATTAAAAAATATAACAAAACTACGGACAGGTAGATTAAGTATAGCTACATTAAGCCGCCCGATCTGATGTTAAGTGTAAGTGGATTCCAGTTTAGACAGCTAAAATGTAGGTACCGTTTCAGCCATCATCCCTACTTTGCTCGGCAAATCTTAATTCCTCTTCCACCCGTAGACAACATTTCGGAACATTTCATCGAAAGGAACACAACACAGAAAGGTCGCGTTTTCATTATAGCTTCTTTAAGGTATTATCTTAAAACCTAACCTCGCATCCAATTTACTTCTGTTAATTGTACAAAAAACTGGTGTACCTGGTGCATTCTATAATTTTCCTCCCTCCCTAGAAGAGCACGACAGGCGAGCTGATATAAAACAATAACTTGAAAATAATAACGATGTCGAAGTCACCAGAAACCGGTGTACACACAACGCGAGCGAAAGTTTAATTGCGAACAGTAAGTGGTAAGTTTTGTGTTTACTAAACTGTTCTCCGCGGGAACTTTACACAATTACTGTACCTTAGTGCTTGTTCCACTCTTGACAGCTCGGCAGCTAAACACCGCATTTTGTGGCAACACTCTTCGCCGACTGAAGTTGTTTGCACCATACCTACTGTCGAAGCAAAATTACACATAAGCTAGTGTGTTCGTGCAGTTTATGAAAACTCGCACTATTTTATTTACTTTATGTGTATCCGGCTCGAAGGATCAACTTAGTGTAGAATATTAGTGCTTAGACGTGCTTAATAAAAATATTGATATTGCAATCAGGGATTAACTTTAACTTCTATTATATAATAGGGATAATTCACTTTTTTCTTCGTCTATAAGGTAGATCCTCATATTTCTCTGCTAGCTGGTAAACTTAGTTCAGCAGCCTATGCCATATGTAAAATAAGACAACTTACTGATGTAGCTACTGCTAGAACTATATACTTTAGTTACTTTCAAAGTATTGTATCCTACGGTATTATTCTTTGGCCGATATTGAAATTGTATTTATCTTGCAAAAGAGAGCTATAAGGGCTATTTATCAACTAAGTTCTAGAACATCTCATATAGAAAATTTTAAAGAAATCGGGATTTTGACTGTTGCTTCACAATTCATTTATATTGTTCACTTTTTGTTTGAAGCAATATTAACTATTATCTCAAACACAGTGAAATACAGTATTTTAATACGAGGAATAAAAATAAACTCAAAATACCAATTAACAGGTTACAGAAGGTTCATCAATCATTTATGGGTCAAGGTGTACAATTCTATAATAAGATTCCTAATGATATTGTTCATTTGCCTCTTCATAAATTTAAAATACACATTAACAATTGCTTACTTATGAAAGGAAATTATACTGTAAAAAAATATTTGAATGATAAAACGGCCTGGCTGTAATTTGTCCTCAATAGATGTTTGCAAGTTTGATGTCAACTTTCATTTTGTAGCACTGTATGAAATAAAACAGGGGGAAAAAATGGCCCTTGCTGAGTTTCTTGTTGGTTCTTTTCAGTACAAGGTCTCCCGCCGTAGTTTTGCGACCCGATGGCGTAGTTTTCGCCTTTCACATGTGCTTGTAAAAGTATAAACTGAATAAATGAAAAAAAAGAAAAAAAAAGTACTGGACACGTATTTTTTAATTTTTCCTATTTCTCCAGACATTACAGAGATATAATGATTTGAAATGTCGCGTGACGTTTTTTTACAATTTTTACTAAAAAGTGGCGAAACTAACCCACACTTAGGGACACGAAAAAAGTATCGATACTTTGTGGTATCGAGTAGTTTTCCTTTCGATACCGATACTTTTGTACTCGATACTTTGTATTCGATACTGAAGGTCCCATTTTTAGGGTTTTCGCATATATCTCGGAAACTATGCATCCTAGCGACATGAGACTTTGACGAAAGTGAAAGCTGATTTAATTTGCTATAAGTACTATTCAGTCAAGTTTTTTGATATCTTGTATAGTTTTCGAGATATCCGCTCTTAAGTCTGTAATTATGGGAAAAAAAATTTGCTTCACATTTTTGCTCAATTTGACCGGATAACTCTTCAACAATGCCGGCCGTAAGGTTGTTAGTTCCACCAGTGAGCAGCATGCAGATTTCGGACAAGCCCGCCAAAACAAGGATGGAACTGACATTGCCAAGCTCACCGATTGGTTTGAGAAATTTCCTCCCTTCCCAGAGACCAGAGACATTATCAAGTCACCAGAAATCCAGAAAGCAGCTGCGGTCTTTTCACACCCTTTCTCCACCACCGCTCAAGTACAAAAGGCAGGTGAATACTTCATCTTAAGGTGGTATGGAGCTCCAGCGAAAGAGATTTCCCTCAATGCCTACAGGTACAAGTCATTCTTGAAATCAGTGGCCACCATCAAGCCTGATATCTCTTGTCTTCCTCCCACCGAGGGAGCAGTAAAACAGTATTCCCAAGAAGTGGTGGCATGTTTTTTTCCATAATTACAGACTTTCTCGAAAACTATACAAGATATCAAAAAACTTGACTGAATAAGACTTGTAGCAAATTTAATCAGCTTTCACTTTTGTCAAAGTTTCATGTCGCTAGGATGCATAGTTTCCGACATATATGCGAAAAACCTAAAAATGGGACTTTCAATCCCCCCCCTTCACCCCGGCTTAAGGGCTACGAGCGGGGACTTTTGATATGTTTACCTCCTATAGTCTATTCACTTTGGCCCAAGACAAAATGTAAACAAAGAATCTGAGGGTCTAAAACTTTTTTAATGTCAGAAAGTACCTACTAGTCAATGATCAGGTCCAGCTTCACCACTCATTAATATAACCACGAAAACGTCAATCCAACAAGAAAACAATGAAAGACCACTTTAAACTTAACAGTAAAAAAATAACAAAAATAAAACAAGTAAATAACAAGAATTTAACAATTATGATAGACTATGCACGCTGAGTCAACAGGTTGATCGAGAGATTATATATGGCTGACGTAAAAAACCAACCGATTATAAAATACAACATTTCAACGTAAAATACTTATTATTATTACTAACATAACATAACTTATGTTAACTTGAATCTGACACACAGTTAACGACGACGGGTTTAGTGGGTATGTTTTTTAATGATTAAAATTCAAGAAAAGTATGTTTAATTTGAAACAAATCTGAAAAGTTTGATACTTTTAAATTGTTTAAGATTTCGATCTTTTTAATTAACATTTTAATTATGAATGTAATATTAATGAACACTTTTTTAGTGTCAGAAATCACAGCTATTTTATTTTCATTATATAATATAGCAATATGTGAATTAACATGTCCTTTTTTTGTGTTTGATTATACGTACTATAATAAAATTCGATTGTTTTTTTTTTCAATTTTAACACGGGGGGGGGGGGGGGGGGCGGGTTTGCTCATCAGGCCACAGAGGCTCCGATAAGGCCCTATGAAATGTACTCGATACTTTGAAGTATCGATACTTTTGTTTCGATACTTTTACGAGTACGATACTTTTTTACCGATACTACTCATGAGTACAGTATCGATACTTTCTATTCGATATCGTGTCCCTACCCACACTGCCAAACTTTGACGCACTTTATCTTTGTATTTTTTTGGTTTATTGATAAAAGCAAAAATATGTATCCATTATTTTTTGATAATATAACTAACAGACTAAATAGAATAAAACTAGTTTTTACGGGTTAATGCACGAAAACTTTATTTATTTATTGACGTTTCAAAATAGAATTTTGTTTAGTGCACAAAATTATCATCCTTAATTAAAATGTTCATTCTCTTCATTTGACAGTATTGTAGTCATAATTTTAATGTAAAGATTCAGCTTTTGGAATAAAAGTACTTCAACATCTTTTTTTAATAGCTTGTTAAAAATCGTGTGAGGCAATTTAGATTAATTCGTGCATCTATCTAATATTATTAAACTATCTCAATGTATTCGATCCCATTTATTACTTGAGTCACTGAATGCACCATTTAATTAATAGCCGAATCTTAACTTATGCCAAAGGTAGCTTTGGTGCGTGATTTTGTAATCATGTGTGATTGACTAGCTTCAGTCAATCCTATGGATATAGAGCGTGAATATGTATGCTGGTTTCAATGTAAATTATTTGTTAGGTACCTACTGATCTGTGATTAAAATTGACAAAGCTCGCACACGTCAGAGATTAATTGACATTACGGTTTTTGGTCTAGTTTAGAATAGAACAGTACAAGTTACACAAATCAGACGAAACACCTTTAATAGAACTGACAGTCTGTCATTCAATCTATATATCTATACATATAAATAAAATTGGAGTGTCTGTTTGTAATATTGAAATAACCGCTTTTTACTACATGCATATGAATATATATACGGTACATACACCAAAATAAAATTTTTTGTCTGCCTGTCTGTCTGTTTTTCCGGCTAATGTCTGAAATGGCTGGACCGATTTTGACGGGACTGTTATTAACAGGTAGCTCATGTAATAAGGAGCAACTTAGGCTACTTTTATTTAAAAAAAAAGTCTTTTATTTTAGAAAATAAAAAAAAGTTAACGTGCACGAAGTCGCGGGCGGCTGCTAGTAAATAAATAAAATCGGGCATATAATTAGTAACGAAGGAAGTATTTTAAGGTTGTTTAAAAATATAAAGGAAAGTTTTAAGGGAATAGGCTAGTTGACTCATGTCGAATTGTATTAAATAAATGTTTATTTTTTAAAGTATTTGGTCTAATGAACCTAAATATATCGATTTCACTTCATAAAAGCAGAAGATTGCTGTAGAAATTTAATTAAAAAAAAATAATTTTTAGTCTATACTTTTTAAACACTAAAAACGCTGTTCGCCACATCCGCCATGATTGTGACGTCTCTTTTAGTAAACAACTAAATGTCATTCATACATAACTTTAAAACTTGTATTATTAAACCTGATTATAAATGAAGAGACTTAAAATTTTATTCAATGAGTACTTACATCAAAGTGATCTTCGCAAAAATAAATTTTACTATGAGTCCATAAAGTTGCAGGATCACTTTTAGCAACTTCTAACCAGGTATTAGGTAGGTTAATTTCTTTCGGCACTTTAATCCACAACTTTCAAAGTGGAATCTTCAAGGATGTGTTTTTACATTCTCGTACAATACAATAATGATAATTACTATATTTTTCGTGGTATTTATTAGAACTCATGTTTTTTTTGTTATTATAAACTCAGATAGGTTATTTTTTACGAGCTTACGAATTTTTGTTTACTGCCGTCGACGTCATAGCATAGACAATCTATAGACTAAAATGGCCCACAGCGTTTTTGTATATCCATGAAAAGTCTATTGTAAAATTAAAGATTTGGAGCTTTCTAGGTCTCAAAAAAATACAATACATCTTTTTTCGGTCTAATAGAACATTTATTAACCATTTACAACCTTTTTCCAAAAAGGGTCAACTAGCCTATTCTCGTTTCTGTGGGATACCTTTATTTTACGTAGTTATATAGTAATTGATTTTCCTCAGACGGTAGAAACTTAAATTATAACCTTTACTTGAGTAATAGTTTAATACATATCCAAGAAATAAACTTATATTACTTACGTAAGGATATTAATTGCTCTTTGGGTATAACACTGGCCAGCAAACTTGTTTTTGGAGGGCTATTCATCCAAATTGACGCTGAAACGAGATCCAATTTATTTTATAATTAACACGGACCCGAAATAATTATAAATAATGTTCACATCGTAACCTAGAAAATGATATTTTTTTATTTGTAAGCGTAACGCAGAGAACTGGGTTATGTTTTTGCGTCAGGATCACGAATGCTAAGTAACTAATGTTTTGATGGGGGGATTGAGCGTCGAAAGGATCGCTCCGGTTTGTTTTGAAAAAAGTAATGGAAAAACAGTACGTACAATCAATGTCATCTTTGCATCGACACGGTAACATTTAAGGTATCGGGTTTTTTCCCGTAGTGATTTTATTATGACCATTTAGGCATAATGTGCACTAAAAATTTAAGTCGCAACAAATAAACCAATCGAGACTATAAGCATAAGAAAGGTACAATTTAGCGGATATTTAGATTTAGCTTGTATTGTAGCGGCCGCCTGGGGAAGTAACCTTCATTTAAGACCATCTGACTACCAGCCTTTAACCTCCCCCACATAACACTAATTTTGGTGTTACTGTTCGTGAGTAAGCAAGTTCCGCGGCTCCACGGGGAAGGCGACTTGAATCATTTTTCTGCCGCTCTGTAACGGTGTGGCACATCCGCAACTGTTCTCCTTGTTTATTTCCTCTATGTTCGACCTTCTTAGCTACCACTTATTTTAAAATGTTCGTTGATGGTTTAGCCACAGCCCGTTACACCACATCAACTATTTCGCGACTGGACTCCACTTATACACTTAACGGGTGGAGAGTGGTAATTATCGCTTTTAAAAATATCACGCAGAAGATTTTAGGATTAAGGCCTGTTACGCGATGAATATCCTGATGATACGAGTATGTAGGTATTCACCGTCACCCCGAGGATATAGAAATTTAAAGGACTTCAGAAATGCCAGTGTGGCAAGTTTAAAGGGTTATTACAGGTCGCGGCACGTATAGCTGCTCATGGGTACGAGTGAAGCCAATCCGCGCAACGCACGCCCACCCGCGCACCTCGTTTCCCCCTAAGATATCTTTACTACAAGACAATTTTTACGTCTGCGCAATAACGGTCAGCGTAAGAGTTTCGTGCCACGACTTATAAGTATTCTAGCCCGCATCACAGCAAAAAATATTTACGCATTAGAACAAGGTACGTAGGTACAAACAGTCTTTTTAAAGAGTTTTTTCTGAAAATGTAATTAAGTAATAATACAATCCATAGTACTAAGTAGTAATAATTAAGGTATATGATTATATCGTCGTTGATACCAAGATGTAATGTAGTCTGCACCTATGTTAACTAGAAAAAATAAGTGGCGAGCTTTGTTAGATCTCTTGATTTTTCAAAATAATTTGAAATGAATATAATTAATATTATAGATAATTTGGAAATGGCAAAAAATATATTATCGTTTCTGTTAATGTTAATCAATTATAATCTATTAAATACATTTTATAGATAGTGAAATTGAAGCTGGCAGAAGTCAGGATGGTGGGAGATATTAGAAAAAAAAAATATTAAACTTAAAAAAAATTGTTAGTACAATCCATCGTCTTTTCCAAAAATATGTTTATGTTTTAAAGATTATTTGTAAATTTACGCAAAGGTGGCAGACATCTACTACAACTCTGATTTTAGATTTAAAGTTTTGGAGCACTTTTCGCTTTCTCTCCGTGACCTTCATTCCCTGTTTTAAACCGTCGTCATCATCATTGTGGCAAAAGTATTTTTTTATTTCTTACAATATAATTTCAATAATTATTCTAGTCTTACTGCCAATGAAGATTTTTTTTAATTATAATAATTAGAAAAAAAATTACAATACAGCAGGAAAAACTTCTGTCACTAGCATATTTTTTATATTAAGACTATCGACAGAAGCGATAACACTTATTTTTATTAAAAAATTTCGCAAGCTCTTATTTGATATTGCAGCAATTAATGAATATCAGAAATTGTTTAAAATGATTATTTTACTTAGTGCTCTAATATTATCAACCTCTGCAGATGATGAAATCATAACAAAATTACTGCCACCAGCTCTCTAGCCATAAGTATCGGAATCATAGCGCAACGCGGTTAGGGGGGGGAGTAGCCATAAGCAATTTCCCCCTCTGACAAAGTATCACTATTGCTCTTAAGTATGTCATTATACGCACACAAAAATAATGTGGTGTATCATGTCATTGTTTGTGTCAGCGTCGTAATTTAAGTTTTGTATTTTTATGTAGCTAGCTATGTATACAGAACAGTACCCTTAGTATGAGTTTTTTTAATACGAAACGAACGATCGTCTTCGTCGATTTGATCAAACTTAACGTTTTCGAATTGTGTCGCAGTACGAGTATAGAATTTCACTACTCGTCTTCACGATAGCGTATGCTCGATGACTCGATTAAACGAAATTCACACTATTTAGTTTTGTCTCTTGCGTTCTTTATTGCTAAAAAAGAGATAGCTGAGCCATTCATTCAATTCAACCTAAAACAGAAATAATCTATGTAAAACTCTAGACTTAATCTTATTAATCTGTGTCCAAAGAGTATAGAACCTACGTTTATCTGTTTATGAAACTTGGCTGCATGGTTAACTACGAGGCCGTAAAGAAATAAAATTAATATATATATACATTGTACAAAATGCCTGACGGTGATAAAAGAAGTTAATCGCTTCCGCTGTAATAATTAATGCCCGTCTTGCCTGTGCACGCTGGTCTTCGTCAATTTCTTCAGCGAGCATGAGAGCTAAATATTGTACTGAAAACATTATTAGATTGCATAAAAACTTGGCCCAAAACACTTAGGCCCGTATTATAGAAAGATTCTCAGTGATTAATCTAGTCTTGAGCATAGTTAGAAAGGGATGTCGCTATATATAGCACATAGCGACATCCCTTTCTAACTGTACTCAAGTAATTAGATCAACACTTAGTTGTCATTCTGTAATACGGGCCTTAGATACTGAAAGTTTCTAATCGAGTGACGATACTATCAAACGTCGGAGTAAACTCATGACGCGCTGTCAAAGTTGTAACTTGTACTGCCAAAATGCAAACAACATACGAAATGGTAGTTTTCCTTTTACGATGACTCGATGAAACTCATACTGCTGATTTTTGCTTTTGATAGTTAACGCTAGGGGCGCTGCTAGTCAATGTATGGAAACGAGAAGATTCGATTGATCGAATTCGAAAACGATTAAAACTCATACTAGGGGTACAGCACTTGTATGCGCAATTCGCCATTGTAAAAAGCACAATGGCCACTTCCATGTCGCGTACGTGTTGCTCATGATTGCTCGGGATCAAAATGTGACTAATCATGTTTTAGAAGCAACATTTCTGGTCGGTCACGCCCATCACGACATACTAACCCAACATCCCTACGGCTAATAAGATAATGGCGAAAAACACTGCAATCGTTTTTCCTTTTCCACTGCCACCCTTTTGTCTACGATTACACCGCGCTCTGTTCCCTTTGGCAGTATTGACGTCATGCAGGTACTCCCATATGTTCTCTCGGATAGGGTAAGAGGATCTTATTTCCCACGCCGGAACTTTCCGAGGTTTCCTCTTCTCGTTAACTCTCCCTGCGAACAAGATTATTCGGTTCGGATCATAGAATTTAGGAAAATCGAATTACTTTTAGATAGGTACAGCTACCCGTTCCTCATATTAACATAGTCTATTTCAATTTGGTGTGGCTACTGTTTCATAATGTCAAAGTAAAGGTTACACTGGAAAATGCGTTCGCTAATGATTTTCAACACATATAATATGTGCACAATAATACATTTATGTATTCCATATTTAACAACTCTAAAGATTCAGATAGGATAACTACTCGTATATCACAGTTTTTCTTTCACTTCCGGTCTAGCAGCATTGTAGCCATTATTGTGATTATGTATCAAGTTAAAGGCAAAATAAATCAGTGGGGAAGATTGATTCCCGAATCGATTTTTTATCTCGGTTAATGAGTTCTTTGCTCTAGTTGCCGTCACGCTGTTTAAATTCTTTATGCTCGGTGAACCATAAATATTTGTCATTTTTTGTTTATTGGAACTTGAGATTTAAATCATCGTAGCTTCTGATGACCTTTTTAGCGGAATGGTCGAAAATTATTGTTATGAAGCCCCATTGTACTTTTGTAGTTCAGTCGTACAGTTAATAACTGCAATTGCATTCGGTTCCTGAAGTGGAATTACTGCACGTAAATTACACAAGTACTCATTATATTTTCTGTAATTGTTAATTGTACTTTTGTAGTTCAGTCGTACAGTTAATAACTGCAATTGCATTCGGTTCCTGAAGTGGAATTACTGCACGTAAATTACACAAGTACTCATTATATTTTCTGTAATTGTTAATTGTACTTTTGTAGTTCAGTCGTACAGTTAATAACTGCAATTGCATTCGGTTCCTGAAGTGGAATTACTGCACGTAAATTACACAAGTACTCATTATATTTTCTGTAATTGTTAATTGAGTAGATTACCTATATTAGGTATACATATTTTGATTTTGATTATTTAATTGTTAGATGTATAAATCTATAATAGGAGAGCGGATGATGTGGGTTTGAATCCCGTCTGAAACCGGCCCCGAGTTGATTATTTTTATGTAGAATTTGTTACATTGTTTCGATGGAGCTGCAATGTCATCGAACAAAAGCTTCTAAACAAAAAGAGAAAAAAACAGACATGTGCTGTCCACATGCGAAAGAAGTGCAACCTACAAAAATGTGTACACGTAATAGTTCTTCATTACCAGCATAGGTATTCTGTACCCCTAGCTAGGGTTGCCACCCGCACTTTATTATAAAGTATTGTACGTTATTTCGGGTAATTGTACTCTATACTTTATACCAACAATTAAGTACGCGAAAATACTTTATTTAATGTGATTTGATTACTTGGGGATTAATTTTACATAAATATACAAAAAGAGGATAGAAAGAATTTTTGCGTAAAACGGAACAACAGTACGTATAATATGTCGCCCTTAGCGCATTCCTGCAACATTGTCGCGGCTGTATGGCTTTGTACAATAGCCTTTCCCATTGCGGATAAGAACTACAGAATTTAGTAGCCACAAATTATTTATTAAAAGTTGCTATAAGCAGCGTAAAATATATTTTTTAAGTTACCTTCTAATAGAGTGGAATAAAAAGTACTTTATTTTGGACACAATGTACTTTTCTTCTATCTTTAATATCCGATGTACTTTATTTGGACATAAAAAAAGGTGGCAACCCTACCCCTAGCACGAACCATTATCGAATTCGAATAGTTTGCAAACCGAAATGTCAATGTCAAATTTTGTGTGGAAATTTGAACAGCAGCGGCACAAAGTACGTAACGAGAACTAAAAATCAGTACCCCTAGCACGAACCAATATCGTCAAATCTGATCTGTCAAATGTGTACTGATTTTTAGTTCTCGTTACGTACTTTGTGCCATACAAAATTTGACATTGACATTTCGGTTTGCAAACTATATAATATAATGGTTCGTGCTAGGGATACAGTACACATTTGACAATAACATTTCGGACTCGCAAACGATACGAATTCGATATTGGTTCGTGCTAGGGGTACTGTAAGATGCAATCTCACTTACGATCTTATTTATTCGGATTTCTTACAAATGTCAAATATCTAATACTGGTTGCTTCTACAGATATAGCGACATTTTGCCGTGTAATGGCGTAATGCATATCAAACTATTGTATAAAATGGCAGCTACCGAAATCAGAAGATTTTATTTTACAGAATCGCCCTACAGGTAAGTCTTAAACAATACACCTGAGTTAAAATTCAACTCTCTATGTCCAATGACTTAGGCTGGGCGCTGTAAAGTCAGTCAATCAGAGCCCCAATCACGAACTTTGACAGATCCGTAATCGTATCGTCATCGTCAAATTTTGTACGGTAGGAGCCAGATTGTTCTTAGTTCCGGCAGGGGCGCTGCTTAGTTTTCATAGAAACTTCGACGATGCGATACGATTACGGAGCTGTCAAAGTTGATGCTTGAGCTCTGGCATTCACTAATCATATCTAGATAGAATTTTACCAAGTATTTTGGCGGATCTAACTGCTACCAACTATTTTTATTTTATTTCCTGTGTTAAGTACCTACCTACTTACCTATCTTTTTTTTATGGTAGGTTTTATTTCGATTATTTATTCACTAAAAATCACTGTACCAAAGTTTTCAAACATTTGGAAGGTAAGGATTGTTTAAAACTCAGGCACTCAGGCAGACTCAGGCACGTAGGATTCCGTAGATATTTATACAACATTAGATACTACATATATTATAATATCGAGAAAAAAACGATACAACGAGATACTGTTAAAAAATCAAATAAAAAAAAGCCATAATGAAATATTTTTTCTTTATTGATTTATAAAAGACACAACAGTTTTCTATCGGGATGGAGATTCGATTGCCTCGTCGCCCGCGGCTTTATTTGTAGTTATTTTGAATATTATATCTTTTATTATCTTTTTATAATCTTAGGTTTATTTCGAAATATTTATTTATAAAGAAACGATAACAATATGCTTATATTGGAATGGTAACAATTGTTGATAAAAACCAGAGCCGTACTAATAAACAAGTTCGGCATCTACCAAACGTTTAATATATACTTAACTATTCAGGTATTGTAAAATACTGGGCAAAATTAAATATTGTGTACTTAAATTGTTTCGAAAAATGAATACTAGCTTTATTTAGTAAAAGGAAAAAAAAACAATTAAAATTAACATCCGAACTCAGGTTTCCAACCACCGACCACTTGCCTCCGACCGACCTCAAGAGACCGATTGCGTTCGGCCTTCTGTCTCTTATAGCACATACCCTACTTCCATTTCATCGAATCTCAAGTTACAATAATACTAAAGAAGTTTTCACTTCAAATAGGAAATTCAATTTATTTATTTAATTTATTATATTTTATACTAATGCCATTCCTACATCCAACCTGAAACCACAATTGCTATTGGTTCGGTGTAAATTATTGTTCAGAAACAATGTAGACAGGTTTGAATGCCAAACCATCGTCTAGGTTTATCTATAGCATCTTAGTAGGACTTCGCTCCTAGCTACATATAATCATAAATAAGGCACTTGTCTCACCGCCTACGATGAACGAGATGCGAGTAGAGCTAGAAACTAGAAACGCGTTGACGATCGGCGGGAGCGAGTCTGTAGTTCCGATAATTTTATCGCTGGCCTGTATAAACGAGTGTGCGAGTACCAAGGGCGATTACTTGCGCCACTCGCTCGTGCAGGCAGTTATGAGCAAACATGTACGCGCGCACTTTCTGAGGCCCAAGCGTGAATATTGACTGCTTCGTAAACGTATTGTCAGCGTCAATTTTTGACGACCTCCGTGGCCAAGTAGTTTGTACGCCGTGTTTCATGGTGTCACCGACTCGCCAGGTCCCGGGTTCGAATCCCGGTGGGGACAGATGTTTGTGTGATGAATACGAGCATTTAGACTCCAGTCATGGGTGTTTAATATGTATTTCTATATAAATATAGTTATATATGTACAGTATATGTATTCTATCCGTTATCCTAGCATCCCTTAACACAAGCCTTAAAGTGCTTACTTTGGGGATAGGCTAATTGGTGTGAGTGTTGGAAATATTTATTTATTTTTTAATTGGTTTGTGTTTGTGGTCAACTGAATATGGGACTCAAAGACGAGAACCCTATTAGGCTCGATAAAATAATATATAAATGTAAAGCAAGCAGTTCCTACATGACCCAATACTTCAAAAATTGTTATGTTAGTCATAATGTATATGAAAGCGCAGTAAGTATTTTAAAACGCATCTTATAAAACTAAGCGCTGCATTTTCTACAGAAGCTACACTTTCGATTCACACAAGCCACTACTTTACTCTGAGGTATTGTATCGACTAGTGCCGTAAATAAATACGGTTTCGCAGTGGCAATGCTCCTGAAATATTCTTATCCTGTTGTTTATTTAGTGAACTCGCAAACATCCAGACTGGGTCGAACAGGGCGCTGACCGGCCCGTTGATGCATCGAGCATCGCTCTCGTTGGGAAAATAACTATTGCATTTTGGGATGTTGATTAACGCGGGAGAGATGGGTCGCAATTGTTTGCAGGTCAAATGTAGTTCTCACAAGTATGCATTGATGAGGCAGACTCTTGGCATAAAGTATAGGATGAAAAGTAGCAGTTCCATTGTTTTATTCCACTATACTGACATCAAACGAACAGTCAAGCGATGTGGGGAGGAACATCTTACTGTAGGTATACAACAAGTACTATGGAACACAGATTTGAAATGCTGACTCCGATAAGACCTACTGACCGATGAACGGTCGTCGTCGGCCGAACGCATTACTCATTCATTGCTACGCTTGCAAATTGATTTTGAGGTCGAACGGCTGTTTTGAATCGTCGACGACGTGAATGCTTGTTTACCGACGGATGAAGTATGCTTTGTTTAAAAACGTAGGCATATTAACACGACATTATATCCCTAAGGGGTAAGCAGTGCCTCAGCTTGTGTTGAAACAAACTGCAAACCTAGCCATATTTAGCATTAGTTGGGTCTTAAATGAGACATTAACTCTCCTGGTATTTATATTTGACCTGTGTTTGTTACGCTTGCCCAATACAGGCAAAAATGTAATGGAAAAAAATACCATGGTTGGAGGAGAAAAACCCTTAATATTGATGACGGCAAATTTTACTGAAAGAAACATTCTTTTAGTTTTTTAAATAATAAAAAAATATTATATTGATTTTTGAAAAATCACTTCCTTGAGCCGGGAATCGAACCGGTGAAAAGTCATAAAAAACATTCTGTAGAAATCAATTCATCATCAATCAATTTCTTTAAAACAACATATGTAGTAATTTAAATTAGAGAAAGACTAAGTTTGTTTATTTTTAAGCTTACTCATTATCTAATCTTATGAATTTGCTCAAAATAAGCCTACTTTCACATATGCACAGAGTATTCTCCGACTGAATTCGCTCTGTGTTGCCTTTTATATTGAGTTATGGTGAATATTTAGGTTAGGGAGACCTGGCGTAATCAATAATTTTATTTAGCCCCAGTCCAGCACAGGGGCCTTCAATTTATGTGCAAAATAATGAGATATATTTATATGACCATGATGATACAGTTTTACTAGTTAGTGCTCGCGAATTCATCTGCTTATAATAATCATTTTCTTATACAATTTTTCACGTGCTTCTAGGTAACTGTAACGGATTATAGGTATGGACATGGGATAAAAATATTGGAAATTATCGTGGACAAAGTTCCGAGCAGAATGAAGTTAACCGTGTTTTTGTTCTTTGCTTGCGCTATCTAATTAGTAAATTGGTTTGATCAACGCGCATTAAGTTTTATTTTAAATTAGAACTGGTACCACAGGAATTTGCAAATCATTTTATTAAATGTAAAATTAGGAGCTTGATGGCGTAAGTGGTTAGCGCGTTCGGTTGCGATCGTTGAAGTTAAGCCACTTTCGCAGGGGTCGGTCATTGGATGGGTGACCAAAAATCTTCTATCTTGAATTCCTCCGTGCTTTGGAAAGCACGTTAAGCCGTTGGTCCCGGCTGCATCTGCAGTCGTTAGCACCCGCCAATCCGCACTGGGCCCGCGTGGTGGGTCATGGCCCAATCTCCCTATTCCATCCATTACATTTATAGGATAATGATGATGATAATGATGACACATAAAATATACTTACTAGTGTTATATAAAGTTCAAAATGTGTTTAATTGTGTAGTGATGGTGTAATTTAATTGTCATAGTGGTTGAATTCTATTTGTACCTACTAAAGTAGAATTAATCCACAGAGCAACAGATGAACTAACCTGATGAGCACCACGGTGGGATAATATTGTTTTGCGATACATCACTGCTGTTAGAGCTTTCACATGCTCTCCTGTATGCACTTCGCGTTATTATAACCATTTAGCCTTATTATGTTGACATCACAAACTAAGATTAGACGTCTCTTTGTCGAAAAACATAATTAATCATTACTTGCAGCCTACTCGATATCTAAAGATAGAATTTTATTAAATCAATCGAATTAATCCTTTTTAATTTTTGGTGTTCCCGCCAAAATTGCTGACAACAGATATAGACTTTTTTGTATTTTTTTGCGTTTCAAAAAATGCAAAGGAATTTATTACGTAGTGTATACGTGTTATTTTTTTTTACTTTAAGCACTTTGGTTTTAAAAAAGTAGTTTGTTTGTTATATATCTTATATTATGAAGTATATTAAATTAATATGTATTTACTATTTCGTAAGTCTTTCTTTAAATGCATGATACTGACTGACTTTTAGCTTAACTATTATTGAAACAAGATTTACAATCTATTGCGAGATTTTATCATTTAGTAGAATAGGACGTTTGGTTGTCTCTACTAATAGTCTGGTATTGATAGAAAATAAAATCAGTACTTAAGAAAATTTTACTAGAAACAATTCCATTCGGCCCAGTTACAGACGGGATTCGAAGCCGCATCCTCCGCTATTCGGGCAGACGCATTTTCTTTAGATTAAAATATCTACTAGCAGTTAAATAGTAATAATATAAAAATGGGTGCGTGTACTTATGTAGGCGCGTGAGAAGTTATCCTTCTTTGGCATCGTTTAAAATTAGTTTTTAATTGCATGCTAATAATTAATTACAATAAATTAATAAAAAGTCTGGAAAATTACGAAGTCAATAAAGTTCAGTTTTAATTTGAAAAAATAAATAAATAATCAAAATATTCAATTAAAATCGCTACTGAATATAATTTATTAGAACATATGGACGTAGTTACGCGAAAACGTTCCAACCCACAAGTCACTCGAAAATGAGTTACCATAACCAGGGTACTATTTTTGACATATTACATCATGTGCAGACATAGATGCTAGTATTTTTAGGTTAGTTTCATCAATAAAGTTTGACCAAAATGTTCCAACCCACCATTATGCCAAGGACGTGTACTCAAAATAAAGTGAAAACATTACATGCATACTGAAACATATTGTTAAAAACTCTTAATAGAATAACATTATCGTTATAATGTTCCACTTGTCTTGGAACTTTATACTAAATTCATAAAACGCACATTTAATTATTTAAAGTGTTAAACCTCTTCAAGTTTACAAAATGACAAAGACTGATTTTTTTAGTACAACTAAACTGGAAAAGAAGATTATCAATAGGAAGAAGTTTACAGACTCATCTAAAGTTAGTTGGCTACATACAAAAGAAATTAAGTTGGATAAAGATCAAATGTTCTATTTTTATGCGGTCTACGATGGAAGACGATTTCAATGAGTTGAAAATTGATAAAAAAATAAAGCGAGAACTGCATACATAAAAGAAATTTGATTTTTGTTTATTGTGGTCTAATGGCAAACCGATTGCTCCAGCGAAATTAGTGGACTTACAATCCATGTACCACTACATACCTGAGGATTGCCTTCAATTTTATAGAACGCTTCAAAGTTTTGAAGAAGCTACTGATGATTTTGATGGGTTTGATGGAGTTCCGGACTTCGAGATCATAGAATACCATGATGAAAATTGAATGTTTGTAATATAAGTTTTTGATAACTTTTGGAACCATATCAGTAAATTTTTGGCATTGGTTCTAAGCTCAAAAGATCACGTTCTATTTTTTTGTAATAAATTTTAAAATTTTTTTTTGTTGTTTTTGTATGTTCCTCATTGTTATTTATTATTTTACATATTTATTTTAGATATATTTATAAAATAATACACTTAAATTCGTTTTGGAACGTTTATGCATATTTGCTTTTGAACAAGGTTCATACAAAATTAAATTTAGCAAAAACGTTTCAAACTCGTTTTACCTATTTATATGCCCCTTTTATTATGTATTTACAAAAAATATGCATATCATTCAATAACCACTTTGGCATTCCACAGTAAAACCAAAAGTATTTGCCTGAAATAATTACAGGGAAAAAGTGTACCGCTAAAACACAAAATTGCGTTTATCTCAAAATGGGGTCGCTGTGGGTTGGAACGTTTTCGCGTAACTACGTCCATATGTGATTGGCACTTGTATGAAACTCAAACACGTATTCCGAATATACAAACTAGAAACATGCGGATAAATATTATAAATATGAATACCTATAACTGTTACTTTATTACAAAAAATAAAGATGTGGTTTTTGGTTCTACTACACCAATGGTCAAGAGATGGCGCTGTAGTCTCCTGAATCGCGCTTTGGTTCCGTTGTTCCAGATTAATAAATACTTTTGATAGGCCTCCACAATGCAGTCGTTAGCACCCACTAAATAGAGATTCTATTTCTATTTTGTTGGTAGATTTTCTTAATGTGCGGTAAACATAAAACCAACTTCATGCTGTTAAAATTTTGTGTTACAGTGATGCGCGCGCATCTTAAAATTTCACTCTTATCATTTTTTCATAACGCGCCTAAAGAAGTATAACTTCAATAAAAATCAATAATCTTGAATATTTGAGAAAACGCTTTCTTAGAATTTACCTTGCATTCCAATATGTGCGGTTTCTAATTAAAATAACTTTTATTTATTATTTGTTCAGAGCTAATTCAAACTGTATCTATTGTTTACGTTCTTTGGTTGTAAGGATTTAAGTACTTATTTATTTTTCAGTTTAGATTTAAGGTGCTTTGTTAAATAGTGTTTGTAAAAATAAGTTGTGATTTATCATTTCACATTTTTGATTACGATCAAACTCAACACTTTCAATGGAATTGCTCTAGAAAAGCATTGTTTTGACCTCCACTTAACCGTTAGTTTGAATTATTCAGAGTTGAAATGAATTGTTCTCGCTTATTAAGTCTTAAAATTTGAATTTCATGGCGGAGGTATTAAATCAAACACAAAGTTATGGGCGGAGCAGTCTGTGAGCCATGTTCGTGGCACTCGTAGTTGTTTTTGTTGTTTCACAGGCGAGTGCTCAGGAGCAAGCGCTGAGCACCGAGACGCCACCGCACTCCCAGTCGCTTCCATTTTTGGACCTTTTTACTGGCGCGTCGACCTATTACGGCGAACCTATACGGAAAACTTACTCGGACCCTTATTATGTGTCTTGTCCGAAAACTGACGCGCTTAGCTCATTTGCTAATGTATTGGGTAGTGCTGCCAAGATCATGTTATCGGCCGCCGTCATAGCGTTTCTGAAGATGCTGGGAGGCAAAATACTTTTGTTTCCGCTACTACTAGTGTTCTTTAGCAAAATTGGACTCAAAGTGTTCCTACTCTGGCCGATGATATCTAAGATGATGAAATACTTCAAGACGAAAAAGAAAAAAGGTTTTAAGCCCCGGATGATTATGGACTGCTCGCAGAGGATTGCTTGTGTGATTCAAAGATCTGCTGAAGGTTGGGGAAGCAATTTGGGTGCTGCGGCCACCTTCACCTTGATAGACGACGTGGATCAAGACACATCTTATGCGAGAGCTTTGTTAAGAATATTAGCAGGTGACAAAGTCGCAGAATGCATGACAATCGAGTGCAGTTCCGGGATTGATATAAGCTAACGAAGTAATTAATAATAAACAAAATATAGAATGTAGGCCGTTGCCAAGTTGCTTTAAGTATAAGGAAATTATTTGTCACGAGAATTATAAAGTGCTGGCTTGCGAATTATCGATTCAATAAATAAATTACTTATACGAACATTAGTTTAAGCGCAGTCATTCGATCAACATGCGTCCGAGGTGCATATCGGTTTTAGTGCTATTATTTTCTATACAATGCGTATACTGTTTTACCGGTGACCCAGTTATGTACCTTCCCCCGTTCGAAGTGCGAACTGTAAAGTCCGAGCGGCAACCCTTCATTAATAGCCAGCAGTTTATTGGTGACCAACAATTGCCGGTGAATAGGAAAGTACAGCAAAGCCAGCCTATAATGCATTCAAACATGAGTCCTCCCCCTTCAGTACCAAAGCCGAAGGTGGAAAGAGAAACTGCGACGCCGGTCGACGCCAGAAACTTTACGTTCAGCGATCTTTTGGACGCTTTTAACAGCATCGAGCAGAAAAAGGAGGGTAATCACGAAGTTTCCAGGGCATCTGAATACGATTACCAGCCGTACCCTTCGTATTATGAGCCGCCTCCGTATGGTTACCATCATGTACCACGTCCGTACTCATACGGTTATCAAAAGCCTCCCTCTGCATATGTTCATCCCACCGCAGTCCATCACCCAGGATCGAAGTTTTCTCTGAAACCTGAAATAGTTGGAGACCTCTTCAAACCGGTTGCAACGAAAGTAGCTGGCAAAGTGAGCGGCTTAATCGGCTTAGTGCTCGCTTTACTCACGGGCTCCTCCCCGAATGACCTAGAACTCAAAGGATTCAAAGATATTGTTATTAACGGAATTGTTAAGCCGCTTCTTTTAGCTAAAGGCGGAATAAAGTCCTTGATCAGTAAGCTCACGATCCCAGTGATATCGTTGCTGTTGATTAATCTAGAAGTTTTGGTCACTATTTGGTGGTTATGGGAGGATTGCCCGGATAATACTCCACCGCCTTACACAGATCCTAAACCCTCGTATGGTTACAACTCTTATAGATAGAACAAAAATGTTTACCTTTATTCTCAAGCCCAGTTATTAAATGTAAATATAGATGATTAATGTAAATTATGTAAGACTGAGAATGTGTAAATGAATAAATCTTTATGTCACGTATAATGTTTTCATTTATTATATCTTTTCTCAATAAAATAATTTATTTATATATTTTTGATGGGACCTGGTTGTTTAAATTTTGTATAGGTTATACTTTGTTATATATTAAATAACTGGTAAGTATAACCAACCATTAATAAGTATCAATAGTAAATTGTCATTTCCTTGTTTGCCATTATGTTTTACATACACAAATGCTCAGGAAAGTTAGCAACTGACGAATTCTACGTTTTACTTTAGCTTCCATACCAATATATAAGTACAGTTATCTTACATTTTAGGGCTGCAACGACATTTATCCATATTTTATTGATTCCAGTTATACTCACTTCTTGGTTGCTAGACAACCGCTGCTAATTACCAAAAATCAAATTTTAAGATATTATAATTTGAATACCGAAGCAACTTTAGACCTGTAGGGCTGTACAAATTAATAGGTCTTGGCCGTATTACCAGTAAATTATTAAAAAAATATACAGCTAGTATTTTTTTCACCTCGTTTAAAGGTGGTTTTAGTGAGTTTCGAAATTGAAACATAAATATCGAATAAACAGCCGTGCTATTTTGTAAAATTTTAAAAAGGGTCGTGTGAAATGTTATCGCTTCAAGCGCGATAGTGTGTAATGCCGTATCAATTCTTCATACCATCATGCCAATCATGCGAGAAATCCGTTTATGTTTTAGGTTGCGGCTTAGCTGCAAAGTCTGTTGCGATAGCACATGGTTCACTGAACGAATATAAACTTTGAATGAAACTATAGACATTCTACAAAAGCATCAATGTGCAGGGTTCTAGGAGTAAAAACCGGTCAAGTGCGAGTCGGTCTAACACATAAGAGTTACTAACATTATGTGTAAGATTGAAGATTGTAGACGCTTGAAATATTCATAGAATATATAGTTGAGCACTTTAAAAATAAATAATTAAATTAAAAATATAAAGTAATAATTTCCTCCCATACAGCAGTAGTATTTTTTTGCCTTTTTAGGGTTCTGTACCTCAAAAGGAAAAAAGAAACCCTTATAGGATCACTTTGTTGTCCATCCGTCCGTTTGTCTAGACCGTTTTTCTCAGGAACGCGTAGAGGTATCAAACTGAAATTCATATCTAATGCTCAGGTCTACTGTCCCTTGGAGCTGTGAAAAAATCAAACTTCTAAGCCAAAGCAGCCTTCTGATTGCTATATACAGCCGATTTAATTTTATAAGTTTTCGAAACTCGCACGGGAATCAAAACCTACAGGGTACTTCCCGTGAACTTAGAATCTTGAAATTTGGTACGAAATAACGTCTTTTAGTACAGATAATGTAAAAATTTCGAAAACCGTAAATGTTTAGTAACATCATATATTAAAAAATATTTTTGAAAATTCAGGTTTCTACGGAACCCTCGGTGCGTGAGTCCGACTCGCACTTGTCTGGTATTTTTTTACGGAATCCATCGTGCGCGTGGTCGACCCGCACTCGACCGGTTTTTTAAATTTATAATACATCTAGGGCTAGATTGTTTATATAAGTATCAAGGGTTATTACATTAGTGAGTTCTTTTCTTCAATAAAAAAAGGTGCTTAATGTGAATTGTATAATATACTGTGTTAAGTGCTAAAATCTACCTGTGCCTTATTTATTCGTCATTTGAGTAGGTATACAGTCCCGTCTCACAATCTGTAATGTATTATTCAGCACTTGGCTAGATCACACGCATCGTTGCTTTTGACATCTGCCGCTTAGAAATGAAAACCTTGACGCTCAGCTTACGCGTGCCCACACTAAAGTAAGCTATTTATTTAGTATATTAATAAAGTTTTGACTGAGTCAATCTTATACTGTAAAGTAGTGGTTTGTCAAATTATGATTGCTTTAGCCTGTCACGCGTTGCTTTGGTTAGAAAAGAATAAAAAAAAGATAAATTAAATTACTAAATAAATGACAACATGAATGTCATTCTGAATAAAAAAAGGTCATACTATAATCGTATATACTATATTTTATATTTTTCGCCGGGGCGCCCGCTCCGTGCCCCGCTTAACGCAGCGTAGGCTCTTAGGTTATATTTCCTATAAAAAAAGTTTCATGTTTCTACAAGTTTAGTTGTCATAAATTCATCATTTGTCAGATTCAAATATATTAAAATTTGGGACCTACGTACTTTAAACGGATAAAATTCCATATAGGTATTTTATTTACAAATCTGCGGCGTTTATAGGATATTTTGGGTGTGTAGTAAGTTTATTGTGTATAAACTGTTCTTACTACTTTTATTTATATGATTTTTAAATTTCTCAGATAACCCGAAATTCACGGTGTATACTTGTAAGGTTTTTCGGATTGTTGATTCATTTGTTTGAACGAAACAGTTTTAATTATTATTACCACTATACTGCATTCTGTATATTTTCTAATTAAGTAAATATTTGAAAATTACGCAAGAGATCATCATTCTTTTACTTTCCTCACAGTAAGTCGTTCGTCGACGAGTAGTAGGCATTCCCTATGGATTAAAATTTAAGGAAATTAGGCTAATACGAGTTGTATTTAAGAAACTAAAAAATACAACAGTTACGTAATTTTTTTTTCCTTTTTTAGGGTTCCGTAGTTCTGACAAGTCAATAAAGTTCAGTTTTAATTTGAAAAAATAAATAAATAATCAAAATATTCAATTAAAATCGCTACTGAATATAATTTATTAGAACATATGTGATTTGCACTTGTATGAAACTCAAACAGGTATTCCGAATATACAAACTAGAAACATGTGGATAAATATTATAAATATGAATACCTATAACTGTTACTTTATTACAAAAAATAAAGATGTGGTTTTTGGTTCTACTACACCAATGGTCAAGAGATGGCGCTGTAGTCTCCTGAATCGCGCTTTGGTTCCGTTGTTCCAGATTAATAAATACTTTTGATAGGCCTTCACAATGCAGTCGTTAGCACCCACTAAATAGAGATTCTATTTCTATTTTGTTAGTAGATTTTCTTAATGTGCGGTAAACACAAAAGTAACGCATGAAGTTGGTCGCTAATTACGATACAGGTCTTGTGGACACCTGTAACATAATATAACTTTTTAATCATAACGATACACCTATATAACCTTCAGCTGGACCAAGGAAATTGAACCTCTACTTTAAAAAGGTTTCAATGAACGAGTCCGCGACGACGCTACACGCATGCGCAATCGATGTTTGCACCTTGGCGCCAACATTTGACATTTAAAAAATCTTTTCAATATTTAAACAAAGTTTGGTTTTGTTTGTAAAATACATAAGTTTTTGTGTAAAAACATGTCTGAAAGCGGGGATAGTGGTGATTGTATACCACCAGACATTCTGGAAGCTGCGTCAAACATGACCATGAACCTGTTGCCGGCGACATCTAGGAGCAACTATAATAAATGTTACCACGAATTCATGGAATGGAAAATGAATAAAAACGCTACATCATTTTCTGAAACTGTGTTGTTAGAATACTTTCAAGAGTTATATGAAAAATATAAAGTGTCAAGTATGTGGGTTAAATACTCCATGATTAAAAGTACACTCAATATTTACAACGAAGTTGACATAACTAAATATAGCAAGCTGATTGCATTTTTGAAACGAAACTCACAAGGATATAAAGGGAAAAAATCCAAGACTTTTACAGCAGAGCAGATAAATAAGTTCTTAAATGAAGCCCCAGACACATTATATCTCTTCACAAAGGTATTTTAGTTGTTTATCAGTTAACCAGGTACATTTTTCTTTGTTAATATTGAGTTAATTTACCGTAATATATATATATATATATATATATATGAGTTGTTACAAATTTCACTAATTTTTGGTATAATTGGTGCTTGCCGACGGCAAGAGTTATACAACTTACAATTCAAAGATGTTGAAGTCTTCGAAACTACAATATTGATCAAAATGAGTAAAACTAAAACCAAGACGGACCGCTCTTTTACCGTTACTGGGAAATATTATGAACAATGCAAAAAATACATAGAGCAACGACCAACTGAGTGCAGCAATCCCAGTTTTTTTCTAAACTATATTGCCGGAAAATGCACGACGCAGAGAGTTGGCATTAACAAATTTGGAGCTTTAGGCAAAGTTATTGCCAGCTATCTTCAACTTACTGACCCCGAATTGTACACAGGACACTGCTTTCGCCGAACATCTGCGACCTTGCTAGTTGACGCTGGTGGAGATATAACGGCACTAAAGCGACACGGAAGCTGGAAGTCAACGACAGTTGCAGAAGGCTATATAGATGATTCAATGACTAACAAGATCGCTGTATCCAATTCAATACTTAGCAGTATTGAAAATAACAGAAATGAGGTCAACATTAACATACCCTCTCTGAGTACCTCCAATAACGCTTCCTGTCCGGTTCAAATTCAGTTTCATAATTGTAATATTCAGAACACCAATAATTATTACAAGTAAAAATAAATTTGTTGTTATATTCAGCGTTTTATTTGCAATATTGTTTTACGTATTATAGTATGAGAGTAGATAAAGTAGTGTATGACACTGTAGATAACTTAGTCTTATAAACACTCGTGTGATACATGTTATAAGAACCCTTATTATGCAACAGTATCAAACTACTATAAACTACTATAAAAACCACAATAAAATATCATTAGTTCCATAATGCTCCCGCGAGTACCAACGGTAACGGCTTTTGAGTCGCGCTAACGTTACGGTTTCATAAATAGTATATAAGAATTTGAAAATATCGGCGGTTATACCGCAATATCCCCTTCTCAGGGGATGATCGCTTCAGATGAAGCTTTTAGTCAGTAGGAGTCTGAAATAACCTTGCAGCCGGTTGTAGAGTATCTATGAGGATTTCACACCCGCTCTCCCAAAAAAGTTGTCAAACCATCTCGGCACAAGTGTATCAAGATACGATTCTTGCGAAGGTTTTCTTAACAACACTATGTTCCATAACTAAGAATGGTCCTTTCAGCAAGACTCAGCACCGGATCAT